CACATTTTGCCTCAAAGGGTGGGACAAAGGATTCGTCAGAACAAAAACTTTAAAGTCAAACTGCTAGGGAGTAGGGAGCCAGTGGAGTCCTGCGAGGGCTAATGATGCAAGTTGTGGAGTTCTGAATGATCCAGAGATTGTGGAGGGTTGAACTGGGAACCCAATTGAGCAGGGTTTAGAGAATTAGACTATAGCTTGCAGCTATATTCACGCTGATTCGCTGTGAATGTCCTTACTCTACAGGTTCCACAATCTGACATAAGAATGACTAACTATTTGCGGTGATGAAACAAAACTAATGACTTCATGGATTTACCTCTTTAGGCTCTTCTTGCAACCCTCATTCAATATTCTGCAAGTCTGCTGTCAATTCACCAAAAGAAGTTGGTGTTTGTTTTTGTGGTGCGTTCGGTGTTACTATGCTCATTTTTGGGGGGTCAGCCAGGTGTGTGACACATACCAAAACCTGTTGCAATGCAACCTGAAAGTGCTATATCAAAGGCAAGCATTATTGTTATGTATGTCTTTTGTGTAACATTGTGCAATTTTACTGGTGGAAACGATATTGTCATTAAAATATGTTGACATCAACTTTTATTATTTAGAATTTAATATCGGAGCCTACATAGAATTTTATTTAGGTGTATCGACTCTGTATACTATATGTGAAACTATAGTTTCAATGCAAAGGTTGCATGATTTCTTTTAACAGACAGTTGAACATTTCCATTAAGAGCATTTTCATAAACTACATGCACAATGACATTTTTTTTAACCTTCCTGCCTCGTTAATCTTATTTAAAAAAAATTCAAACAGTGTTGGGTTTCATTGAAGGCGAGGCCGTGGAGGGCTTTGTAGGTGAGGATCAAGATCTTGAACTGGATTCTCTGAAGGACAGGGAGCCAATGGAGTCGGCGAGAGTGGGGGAGATGGGATCATGGAGTTTGGTGCGGGTGAGGACATAGTGCCACTATGTGGCGTGTGCTTCATTTTGTGACCCGTGTATTTGACTGAGCAGATTAATGCCAATAGTGAGGGTGTTGACAGGCACAATTAGCTGCATGACAGCAATGACAGGTTGCATTTATATCGTGCTGTCACATGGATTAGCGCCTTGGAGCACTTAACCGCTTGACGTCCCTAAGCTGAAATTTCCAACAGAAATGATCCGTTTGTGGAAAAGAGTTTTACAAGTTTTACTTTTTTTTAACTCAATAAAGTTCCTTTTTTCTGTAGCTCTGCAAGTCTGGTTGTGATCTAACTCGGGGTAGAGCCACTACCTCACCCCTCAGGCCGCTGAAACTCTTGTTTATGTCTTCATCACCTCCAGGCTCGACTATGCAAACGTCCTCCTTGTCAGCCTTCCCAACTCCTCCCTCCACAGGCTGCAGATAATCCAGAAGTCTGCAGCCCGTGTCCTCACCCGCACCAAACTCCATGATCCCATCTCCCCCACTCTCGCCGACTCCATTGGCTCCCTATCCTTCAGAGGATCCAGTTCAAGATCTTGATCCTCACCTACAAAGCCCTCCATGGCCTCGCCTCAACCTACCTCTGTGACCTCCTAACCCCCTACCAACCTGCACGCTCCCTCCGCTCAGTCTGCTCCACGTCCCCCGACCCACCCGCCCCACCATTGGCGGGAGAGCCTTCAGCCACTCTGCCCCCAACCTCTGGAATTCCATCACCCAATTACTCAGCCTCGACCCCCACTTAGCCTCCTTCAAGTCCCGTCTCAAGACCCTCTTCTTCGACCATACCATTGGTCAAACCCCTTCCTCTCCCCTCCCTTCTCCCCCCCTGACCCCAGGTCGGGTCTGAAATGCTGTACACTGTCCAGTGCCTTGGGACGTCCTCACGACCTGAAAGGCGCTATACAAATGTAATCTTTTTGTTGTTGTTGTTGCTGTTGAATACACTGGAATTATTATGAAACAGAAAGCATTTTGACCGCAAATCTGTCAGACTGCATTAATTTTAAAGGGATAGTGAATTAGTTTTTATGTCTATCCCTGTTGTCCCCCCACCCCAAAAAAAAACTATTAATTTCAAGAAAAATCAATGTCCAGTGATCCAACGTTTGCAACGTGGTTGACTCGCTCTAAACTGCAAAGGATTCATCGAACTTCTCCCAGAATGTTTCATCAGTTCCCATCTCTGACACACTGGCCTTCTCCAAAAGGAATTGTTACCAGAAGGAAAATAAAAGTGGTGCCAAAGAAGCAAGTGTGGTAAACAACGACTAGTCTGCAACAGTTGGGACTCAGTTCAGCAGAAACAGCTGCACAACTAGTGAGAGGGACGAGAGGGAGTCGCTGCTCACTGACAGGCAAACTGCCTTCTCTACAGTAGCCTCTGTACAGTGCTCCACACCAGACTCTCTGTGTCTATCCGTATACCAGCCTCAGTCTCTACAGTAGCCTCTGTAATAATAATAATAATAATAATAATCCTTGCATTTGATACAGCGCTTTTCATGTCGGGAGGACGTCCCAAAGCGCTTCACTGTATATTTGTGGGCGAACGCGGCAGCCAATTGCGCACAGCGACGTCCCACAAACAGCCGTGGATTGAAAACGACCAATTTATTATTGGTTTTGTTTTTTTTGGGAGGGATTATTATTAGGCTCTGTGTGGAGTAAGGAAACTTGGCCGAGGTTTCGCCCTCTGCCTGGAACGGAGCTCAGGTCTCTCACTCGCAGAGCGAGTGCTCTAAACCACTGAGAGCCACAGGACTCCACACCAACCCCTGTGTGTGTGTGTGTGTGTGTCTGTCTGTCTGCAGTACTCTCAGTCTCTCTGCAGCCCCTCAGGGTGTGCACCACCCCCCCCCCACTCTCCACTCCCCCCACACTCTCCACTCCCCCCCACACTCTCCACTCCCCCCCACACTCTCCACTCCCCCCCACACTCTCCACTCCCCCCCACACTCTCCACTCCCCCCCACACTCTCCACTCCCCCCACACTCTCCACTCCCCCCCCACACTCTCCACTCCCCCCACACTCTCCACTCCCCCCCACACTCTCCACTCCCCCCCACACTCTCCACTCCCCCCACACTCTCCACTCCCCCCACACTCTCCACTCCCCCCCCACTCTCCACTCCCCCCCCACTCTCCACTCCCCCCCACTCTCCACTCCCCCCCACACTCTCCACTCCCCCCCACACTCTCCACTCCCCCCACACTCTCCACTCCCCCCCCACTCTCCACTCCCCCCCCACTCTCCACTCCCCACTCCCCCCCACTCCACTCCCCCCACTCTCCCCCCCACTCTCCACTCCCCCCCCCACTCCCCCCCCACTCCCCCCCCACTCCCCCCCCCCACTCTCCACTCCCCCCCCCACTCTCCACTCCCCCCCACTCTCCACTCCCCCCCCACTCTCCACTCCCCCCCCCACTCTCCACTCCCCCCCCACTCTCCACTCCCCCCCACTCCCCCCCCACTCTCCCCCCCCACTCTCCACTCCCCCCCACTCTCCACTCCCCCCCCACTCTCCACTCCCCCCCCACTCCCCACTCTCCACTCCCACCCCCACTCTCCACTCCCCCCCCACACTCTCCACTCCCCCCCACACTCTCCACTCCCCCCCCACACTCTCCACTCCCCCCCCACTCTCCACTCCCCCCCCCACTCTCCACTCCCCCCCCACTCTCCACTCCCCCCCCACTCTCCACTCCCCCCCCCACTCTCCACTCCCCCCCACACTCTCCACTCCCCCCCACACTCTCCACTCCCCCCCCCACACTCTCCACTCCCCCCCACACTCTCCACTCCCCCCCACACTCTCCACTCCCCCCCACTCTCCACTCCCCCCCACTCCCCCCCCCCACTCTCCACTCCCCCCCCCACTCTCCACTCCCCCCCACTCTCCACTCCCCCCCCACTCTCCACTCCCCCCCCCACTCTCCACTCCCCCCCCCACTCTCCACTCCCCACTCCCCCCCACACTCTCCACTCCCCCCCCCACTCTCCACTCCCCCCCACACTCTCCACTCCCCCCCCACACTCTCCACTCCCCCCCACACTCTCCACTCCCCCCCCCACTCTCCACTCCCCCCCCACACTCTCCACTCCCCCCCCACACTCTCCACTCCCCCCCCCACTCTCCACTCCCCCCCCACACTCTCCCACTCCCCCCCCCACTCTCCACTCCCCCCCCCACTCTCCACTCCCCCCCCCCACTCCCCCACTCCCCCCCCACACTCTCCACTCCCCCCCCCCCACTCCCCCACTCCCCCCCCCCACTCTCCACTCCCCCCCCCACTCTCCACTCCCCCCCACTCTCCACTCCCCCCCCACTCTCCACTCCCCCCCCCACCCCACTCCCCCCCCCACTCTCCACTCCCCCCCACTCTCCACTCCCCCCCCACTCTCCCACTCCCCCCCCCACTCTCCACTCCCCCCCCACTCTCCACTCCCCCCCCACTCTCCACTCCCCCCCACTCTCCACTCCCCCCCCCACTCTCCACTCCCCCCCCACTCTCCACTCCCCCCCACTCTCCACTCCCCCCCCACTCTCCACTCCCCCCCCCCACTCTCCACTCCCCCCCCACTCTCCACTCCCCCCCCCACCTCTCCACTCCCCCCCCACTTCTCCACTCCCCCCCCCACACTCTCCACTCCCCCCCCACACTCTCCACTCCCCCCCACACTCTCCACTCCCCCCCCACACTCTCCACTCCCCCCCCACTCTCCACTCCCCCCCCACACTCTCCACTCCCCCCCACACTCTCCACTCCCCCCCCCACACTCTCCACTCCCCCCCACACTCTCCACTCCCCCCCCACTCTCCACTCCCCCCCCCACACTCTCCACTCCCCCCCCCACACTCTCCACTCCCCACTCCCCCCCCCACTCTCCACTCCCCCCCCCCCACCCCCCCCCACTCTCCACTCCCCCCCCCACTCTCCCCACTCCCCCCCCCCCACCCCCCCACTCCCACCCCCTGTCCCCGCCTCTGCGTCCCACCCCTTTCTGCTCTCACTGTCTCACGCAGCGCAGCCCCGTTGCGGTGGTCGGGTCGCAGCCTCATGGATCCGGAGGGAGACGGCGCGGCCTCGCGGGGATACCGAGCGCGTTACTCCAACGAGGAGCAGCGAGCGGTCATGTTGCCCTCAGCCCCCGAGAGCGGAGGCACCGGGAGGGGCAGCGGCAGCGGCAGCGGGAGCAGGAGGGGCACCAGGAGGGTTATTGTTGGGGTGAGTGGCTGAGAGCCCCGGGGGGTGGGGGGGGGTGGGGTGGGGGGCAGTGTATGCTCTGGTGGGGGACACACACACACAGCACCAGAGCCACCACCACCGGTGCACCTCCCGATACAGCCCAACCGGACACCTTCCACTGACCAGTCCATATGGCCATCCAAACCCGGTCAAGTACTCTCCTCTCTCTCTCCTCTCTCCTCTCTCTCTCTCTGTGTGTCTATCACTGGTGTATTTTTCTCACTCCCTAAAATTCTTACTGTTTGTTTGGCCATTTGTCTTGTTGCCGAGAGCCTCACCGTAGCCGTCTCTGGCCGTGTCTTGCTGTTTGAATTTGACAATATCCATCCGTTTTTTATAGCCGTGTAGCCTCACCTGCAGGACTTCAGGTGTCTGAGCCCTCACGCGGGAGACGCTTGTCGCTCGCGACGCAGAGGAAGAGCGCTTGCCTCGCAAGCGAGAGGACGCGGTCTCATTTTCCGGGCGGGGAGAAACCTTTGGCAAGTTTCCTTACACCACACACACCTCTGTTTACTTAGCAGTAAGTAGTCGATTGCCAACTTGCTTTCGGTGGGAAATCCGAGGGAAATAATTCCTCAACAAATAGTAATAATTTAGGGCACAGTTGGCTGTCGTGTTTTTGCCCACAAAATACATAACTCAATTCACTCTGCAATACAGTGGATCCCGTGAAGCGCTTTAAGATGTCTCAATGATGTGGCAAGGTGCCTAATGAAATGCAAATATTATTATTATGTACGATTGTGTACCAGACACAGTTCACAGAGACGCTTAGCACTGCATGACCTGTTGCCTGGGATTGTAAGCATGGGCTGACGTGGAAGAGAGGTAACACAAGTTGAGCAAAGGCTTCTAGTTTTACCTAGAGAGAGAGAACTGCATGGGATACAGTACCGACAGAGACTGGCAGAGAGAGAGCGAATTATACCCGGAGAGAGAGAGTGAATTATATAATAATCCTTGCATTTGATACAGTGCCTTAGCATGTGTTTGAAACGTCTCAAAGCCCTTCACAGAATAAATCGTAAAGTGAATTGTCTACTTTTTATGGGTGAAATGCGGAAGCCAATTGCTCACAGCAGTGTCCCACAAACAATCGTGGATTCAGTGACCAAATTATAATTATTATTTTTTTGAAGGGATTATTACCCCTGGAAAAGCGATCTGCCAATCAGCTAAAAACTGGGTTCCTACTTACCTCTAGGTTAACAGGCATGTGGAGTAAGGAAACGTACCCAACATTTCGTTCTGCTGGGAATTGAACCCAGGTCTCTCGCTTGTGAGGTGAGTTCTCTAACCACTGTTCTATAGGACTTCGAGACGTCTCAAAGCACTTCACACAACATACTGTAAAGTGAATTGACTGTATATTTTGTGGGTGAAATGCGGCAGCTAATTGCACACAGCAGTGTCCCACAATCAGTTGTGGATTAAGTGACCAAATTATTATTACTGTTTATTTTTTATTTTTGAAGGAATTATTATTCCTGGAAGAGTGATCCGCTAATCAACTAACAACCGGATTCCTACTTACTGCTAGGTAAACAGAGGTGCGTGGAGTAAGGAAACTTGCCCAATGTTTCCCCCTGCCCAGGAATTAACTCAAATCCTCTCGCTTGTGAGGCGAATGCAATCACTTATATAGCGACCTTCACTTGGGGTAATGGTTCGGACAGTTGCAGTGACCTGATGACCTGGAAGTCAGCAATGTTTTTCATGTGGGAAGCGGGTTAGTCAGTTCTAGGAGCTGGATGTACATCTTTCCAGTACACTCACGCTATAAGCCACCTGCGCTCAATAAGGGTGCATTATAACGGAAATGCTGGAGGATTTTGTCTATTACTATCATTGGACCCAAACTAAAGAAATTCATTGGCAATGCAGGAGGTAGAGCAAGTTGACAGAATGAACAAGTGTATTTTGCGAAACGTATTCAATGGATAATATAGCACACTTAACTAAGGTACAGCTGACACGCCACAAAACCACCACTTGCCACTTTGTGGTGGGTAAAACTGACTCGAAATGGCAGGAGAGCAGCTGGGGAGCGAGTGTAGTGCAGTTTTTGTCACGTGTAAAGGAAGATCTTGGCAGGACACTGGATGCATTTATAAAACAGTTTGATGTTGTGATGGGAGGATGATGACAGTATGTTGGGTGTTCTGGAAGGTTCTGATTGGAATGGCTGAAGGGGCCTCTTTAACTAATCTGATCTTGAGGCGAGTGAATATTTGCTATACCAGAGACGCAATAATCCAAATTCTCAAATAATGCATTACCCGTATGAAAATAGCTTTATATATCACGTAGCTCCAGTAGGATGTAAATCCTGTCTGACCAATGTTATGGACTTTTATAGAGGAGTTAACATGAATTTGACTATGGGAAGTTTATAGTATTTACAGAGGAAGGAGATAGTGCTAATATCAAATAGGAGTATAGATAAGCGGATAGAACATGTAGAGCTTAAATGCATAATAATAATCACTCCAAAAAACAAAAACAATAATAAACTGGTCATTTTCAATCCACCACTGTTTGTTGGACACAAATATACAGTCAATTCACTTTACAGTATATATTCTGTGAAGCGCTTTGAGATGTCTAGAAGACATGAAAAGAGCTATATCAAATGCAACGATTATTATTATTAAAGAGAAAATGGTGAGAAACAGTTAATGGATGCTTAAAGTGGATAAATCTCCAGATCAGGATGGGATGTATCCATGAATCCTTAAAGAAGTCAATGTTTAAAATAATTGAGGCTCTGATGGTCATTTTCAGGAAGCCTATAGAAATGGGGGTGTCCCAGAGGAGTGGAAAGTAGCAAATTTTGCCTAAAGAAAGGAAAAAAGCCAGGAAACGATAGATCAATCAGTCTAATGTCAGTTGGACTGGAAGCTGCATGATGTTACAATAAGGGATGTCATTGTGGAGCATTTAGAAAAGATGGAACTGATAAGAAACATGGTTAAATGCTCCGGGACACTACCGCATGAAGGGCGCTATATAAATGCAAGTTGTTGTTATGTAAAGAGAAAATTTGTGTCTGGCTAAATTGATCACATTTCTGAAGAGGTAAACAAGAAAATGGATAGGGATTTTAGGATGTTATTCTATTAGGTTGCTCCACCATAGCTATGAAGAAGGAGGTTAGGGAGGTTTGCATTTTTCCCTTTAGAACAGAGGGATGAGATGTTTAAGATAATAAAATGATTTGAGAGAATTCATTCGGAAAATTTGTTTCCTCTTGTAGGGGATTTTCTCCTTCGCTCAGCTGAACTGGCTTCCTGCTTGTCCCTCATCCCCTCCTGTCGCATGTCGGTACCTGTGCTTTCTATGTTCTGAAACCCTGGAACTCTCTTCCTCAATCCCTCCTTGCCTCCTCTTTGGTCATCTTCAGATTGCACCTGAACACCTTTCTCTTTTGAGTGTGCATATGGTCACCTACCCTCTCTCTCAAGCTTGGAGTCAAGCTCCACCATTGTTAAACACTCCAACATGCTACCCCGGGTAAAGGGCACAATATAAATGCAAGTTGTTGTATTTGAGGACAAGATGGCCATGGATTCAAGGCTATGACTATCTTAGTAAAAGGAGAGATTTGGTAGAACTTCTCCCGGAAGTATATCAGGTATGGAATGATTTACCAGAGGTAGCTTTCAGTGCAAAGTTGAATAAGCCAGAATTTGACAATGCATGCAGAGGATTGGTATTAGAGGGTCTAGGAAACAAGAACGAAAGTATTCGTTCCTTGGATGAGCAAACATTAATGCACAAAAATGAGCCGAACGGCCTTGTACTGTGTCATACATTTCTGTGATTCTATCATTCCATGATTCATAGCTAAGATGCATCTCTGTCTGTCTTCCATATTTTAGCTTTTTTATAGGCCCCCAAAACAGTTAGCATACATGAACTCACATAAACTGGTTGCAACTTTACCAGGATGGAAATGGTTTCACATATACCCTTCAGAATATGGTCACTATTTCTACCTCTGGATGATGAATGTGTTTTAACTTTTGAAAGTTTTTATTCTTTTCTGCAGGTAGTGCTCTTGTGTATGTTAATTATACTCCTTGGGCTTGGCCTTGGGTTTGGACTAAGATCGTGTGCTCCAAAAACAGGTACAGTTTCTTTCTATTATTTAAAAGGTTCCTTTTATTAGCTACACAGATCCAGTCAATTCCTGCATTTAGTGTCCTTTCCCAATACCCCCAGCTTGTATTTATTTATGAAAAGAAGGGATGTGTGCTTTTGCTTCATGTCTCCTTGTAATCTCTACTGTTAATCATTGCTTCACATTGAAAATGCTGCCTGTGTGACAGCCTTGTTATTTAAATGTAAAACTTCTCTGTAGAAAGGTGCTCAGTGATGAGCCCCATCTTATTCTCTGTAAGCATTTGTAAATAGGATGGGGAATTAGGAAGTAATTGCAAGATATCACGATTTTTACTTCTATTTATGAGCATTGCAATCAAAGGGCAATGTATTTATTTTTATTCCCTTTGTAAAGTTGCTTTACAAATGTAATTTTGTTTGTTGTCGTTGTTGTAAACAGTGTTTTTGGTGTTTTATATATCATTTATTATATTTACTATTTCAAACTCAACAAAGAATATATTTCCCTTTTCTTTTTATTAATCTTTAATTTTCCTGTAATTTCTTCAAGAATTCTGAAACACTGAATGCCCTTTGCTCTCTTTTATAATGACCGGAACTTCCTGGAGAAATGTGCTGATTGTGATTTCTTATTAACCGTATATACATAATAATCATCTTTTCCAACTTTTGTTTCAGAAACCAAAAATGTATTTTGTTCACTTCATCTTTTAAGCTTGGTTTAGCTGTAACTACAGGAAACTGAAGAAAAACAGAATTTTTTTTGTTAGATTTTGGCAGATCTGTTATTCCCATTTGCCAGCCTTTCTTCTTACCCCTTAATTATTTCTCAATTATCTATTTATTTCCCTGTAAGCTTCCTAATCGTTTCTGCTTTTGTTGAGTTTTATGACAGACCATCCCCCATTTCACAGCCCTCTGTATTTATGATCTTATTACTTAGCTCTGGTGTTAAGACTTTACCCCCTTTATCTGGATTCTTTTATTAATGAGGTGTTATATTTAGTCCAGCATGTAAGATTGGAATTGATCCAATATATTTCTATTGGCTTTCACATCGGTAGGATGTTACGCTATCATAAAGTTAGGCAAGACCGTTAAAAATTGTTGAATATCACATTCTCAGGAAACTTTCAGAATTAACAATGAAATTAATCAATGAAAATTGATCTCGCCAGTAGGCAATGTCTTTCACATCTGGAGTGCGTCTCAAATTGCTTCACACAGCTGAAGAGGAGCCTGAACTGCCAGGGAGTTGAGGAAGGGAGGGGAAAGGAGGCCAAATAAATAGTTTTGAAGCTGGAGAGGGGGGGGGGGGCAAGGTGGAAGGATTCTGGCATTGAGTTCCAGAATGTTTGAGTGGAGCAGACAGGGGACATGAAGCAGGGTTGGAGGGTTGCAGGAAGTTGCAGAGTTTGGGTGAGACGAGTCTATGGAAACATTTGAAGGTGAGGACAGCAACAACAAAATTACATTTGTATTGCGCCTTTCATGTCGGGAGGACATCCCAAGGTGCTGGACAATCAGTGTTTCGGACCTGAGCTGGGGGTTGGGATTGGGGAGGATGAAGGGCAGAGGGATAATAATAATAATAATAATAATAATGAGGGTGATCAAAGGTACTGTTGAAGAGGAGGGTCTCAAGACAGGTCTTGAAGGAGGCAAGGGAGGGGGTGAGGCGGAGGGACTCCGGGATGGAGTTCTAGAGGGTGGGGGCAGAGTGGCCGAATGCCCACCTGCCAATGGGTGAGGCAGGGGACATAAAGAAGGCTGGAGCCCACTGAGCAGAGGGAGCGGGCAGGGTGGGAGGGGCTTAGGAGGTCCCAGAGTTAGGGGGAAGCAAGGCCATGGAGGGCTTTGAAGGCGAGGACCAGGATCTTCAGCTGTATCCTCTGTGTGATGGGAAGCCAGTGACTTCCCAAGCAGGGAGTTTGCATAGTCGAGCCTGGAACAAAAATAGCAACTTGCACTTATATAGTGCCCTCCATTGCAGGGTAGTGTCCCAGAACACTCAGAGAATCTTTGAATTTATTCTACTTGAGCTGGAAGTCTCCCACTTGCCCATCCTTGGGCTAATCCCGTGGCTCTGCCTGATGTCTTGTATGTATGTGTGTGTGTGTCTGTGTGTGTGTTTGTGTCTGTCTTGTATGGACATCAGGCAGATCCTCGGGATTAGCCTTCCATCTGTGCCCACAGGGCAGCCTTGTACCTGATGGCAATGCAAGACCAGATATGTTTCTAATGATATTTCTGATGAGTTCACTCTGGATGTTCACATATACAATTGTGGGCTTCAGTAGCTTATATCAACTATTTATTTCCTTCATTGGGTCAAATTCAAAACTTACAAAAGGAATGATAGTTTTTTATTTATTTCGTATCTTTGAATACCCTTCGAATATATTTTTTGACATTGTAGGTTTTTCAGTTTCTCACAATGTAATGCAATGTAATACAAAGAGACTGTCTAGCAAGATCTCAAATTGATGTTAGTATTTATTTATTCAATCAAAACAACATTGATAAGCTGTTATACTATACATACAGCTGGTAGTTCGGATACATGGGTGATCAAATCCTTCCTCCAGGAGAGATGGTGACCACTTAGAATGCATCAGTCATATGTTGACAGCTAATCTTTCTCCTTCAGTGATGGCGTCTTGCTCTCCTACCAATGTATTGTGTTCATTACTTTTATACCATATTCTCACGCCAGGCCCTGCCCAGGTATTGCTTTTCCACACAAACTGCGTTCATGTTGGTTTCTTATCTGCTTTACTTTTCGTACTGAAGTTTAACCCTTTTACATTCCTTCAAACCTTATCAAGCAACAACATTATTAACATCCCCTTATCAAAGACCTGTTGGTTATCCTGCTTCTAAGAGCCACCTGTGTCTGACACAAAAATGTTCTCCTTTCTCAAAGCTGAAAACACACACGAGTTGCACCATCTTGACCATATAGTGTGGGTATATGGATATGTGTTCATTGTGAGGTTAGGCAGTGCAGAAAGCCTAAGGAATACAATTATATAGGGCCTTTCATGTCGGCAGGACATTCCACATCACAATTGTCTTGAGTGAAAAAAGATCTCCTCAGCTCTCCTTTCTCCCTTCTTGTGGCTATATCAAATCTGTATCACCTAGTCACTGACTCCCTTAGTGGAAAGTTTCTTCTTATTTCTTATATATATTTGCTTGCCTCTTTTTCTGTCAAAATGAATCACATCACATTTTGCTTCATTAAATTTCATCCTCTACTCTTCAGCACATTCCTCTAATCTATTTAAGTCCTCCTGCAGTCTCTCCTCCTCACTACTCACTGTAACTCCCAACTTGTATCATCTGCAACTTTTGATATTCTACCTCTTATATCGTAGCATTGGAGAGACTGCAGCCGAGGTTAGAGCTTTTCTCTCTGGAGATAAGTCAATTGAGAGGGACCTGATAGAGGTATTTAAAATTATAAATAGATTAAAAAAGATGGATATTAATAGATTTTTTGGGAGTGCTAAACAAGAAGGCATAAATATAAGATAGCTAAGAGCAGAGATCTAAGATGGTGGTAAGAATGTAGAAGTCACTACCAGAAGCTGTGGTTAAAGCAGAAACTATCGATGTATTTAAGAAGAAACTATGCATACAAGAAGGATAAGGAAATAGAGGGATATAGGAGAGAGGAATAGGGGGGCTGAGGGTTCATGTGCAGTATTAACACATGCGTGGACTCGTTAGGTTAAATGACTTGTTTTCACCCTGTACAGTCAATAATTTCATATAATTGAAAATAATAATGAATAGATTCACTGCCATTTACAGATTTAAGTTAGATCTGCAGGATCAGAGAGTAAAATAAATACATTCAGGCTGTAACCCTACTTGTTAAGTGCAAGGATTAGTATTTTGTATTAGGGTGAAAATGATAAATGTGCTAGCATCATATTTTTTTCATCCATGTTGTGTATAACATTCCAGAAGCACGCTGAAAGAAAGTGCTTGTTCTGTTGGGAAATATGGGAAGCTTACCATTTTTTTATTCAATTGAAATTTCAATACTTACTGATCCCATACAGGATTAGCAATAAATCATTTTGAAGCAGAGCCATGGGACAGGACAGAGCGATGGAGCTTTACGACTGAGTGCCAATTAGGGATGCAATTCTGTAACCATTCTTTTCAAGTTCTACGCGTTCTTACATGTCAGACATTGACTGGAAGCAAGTTGATCATCAGATATTAGGTTTTTGAATGACTGAAAACTGACTTTGAAGTAATGTTCAGCTAAATAAAAGTTTAGTGTCAGGATAAAAGAGCAGGCAAGGAAAGAAACTTTGTTTAAATTGCTTTTGGAAGAAAAACATGGTTTGTTAAAAGTCTCTGTGTCTTTCTGTCTTTGTTGCTCTTTTCCTAACTTGTTTCTGCTGTTGGTTTTGTTCTCTGATTCCCCGGTATTATGCCTGTATCAGATCTCACTGTCTCTGCCAGTTTAAACATACATGTGTCTGCACCTTAATGAGTTGCATTTTGAAATGCTGTTTTGGATACTGTTAAAGATTAACTATGGTTAAAGTTTTGAGGATGAGTAAGATCATATATCAGGAGCAAGTTCAAATTATTTTGCTTTGCTGTTTCTGTAGATTCACATTAAACTAAATGTGTAGTATTAGCAAGTGCAATGCTCCTGATGCCTTTTATCATTTGTTTTCATAAGCATTAAGATAACATATGCACTGCATATTATATCATATCATAACATATCTACCATTGGCAGGAGAGCCTTCAGCCACTCTGCCCCCTACCTCTGGAATTCCATCCCCCAGCCACTCCGCTTCGCCCCCTCCTTAGCCTCCTTCACGTCCCGCCTCAAAACCCTCCCCTTCAACCATGCCATCGGCCACCCCCCTTCCCCTCCCTCCCTTCTCCCCCTCTGATCCCTTCTTGGGTCTGAAATGCTGTACACTGTCCAGTGCCTTGGGATGGCCTCTCGACGTGAAAGGAGCTATACAAATGTAATCTTGTTGTTGTTGTTGCTGTGAGTTTTAAAAGAATTGGTGGAACTGGTCATGTGCAAACATGGCTACAGGAGCTCTGCCAATGTCTCTCCTTTCTAAGGTTAAAAGAATACTGTATGCAGTGGAGCTCTCTCACTCTCTAACCAATGACTGCCTGTATTATACATGAATCTGCGGGTAGACTGCCTTGATCTGTTAGTCATTCTCTTGGTCATCTTTCACAGTAGAGTCAAATTCCATTACCAACAAATTGTACAGCTGCGCTACTCTATGAAACACTCTCGATCTCTGATGCTTTAAAGACCTCAGAAATCAGTGACCGAGTTGAAATCGCAGTAAAACAATTTGACGAATGTGTGGATTGGTATATAGCTTATAGAGCCTGTGTTATGAATATGNAAAAAACTCAACAACATAAATTTGTATGACTTTTTCAAAACAAATCAAAATCCTACATGTTAGAACAGAGACATCTTTCTTCAGTACTACATTGCATAGGTGTCCATAGGGAGCTTGCTGACTGGCTGGGTGAAAATTCACTTAAAATGCTGTTGCACCGTAGATCTTGTTTATTGCACATGTGTGCAACCAGCCGGTTCCTTGCCTACTGGCTAGTTGCAAACATGGGCAGGCATCGCACCTTGCTTTAATGCAGGATGGAATTTTAGACATCCAAACACCGTATTATAACTTTACAGAGTTCTTCAAATATAAAATTATCATGTTTCATCCAAATGCTTTTTCTCTAGCGTTTTTAAATGCTGTACAATCACAAAAAAAAATTGGCTTATAAGAGCGGATGTCACTGATAAACAAAAGGAAATCTCATGAATAGAAAATGTACAATAGGATTAAGGACACTATAATATTCAACTAAAATGTGGAGCTTGTGAAACCTTCAACCACATCCTTGAGCAAAGTGCCACCAAGTGTCTTCAGTAAGATTGATGTTTCTTGAGACCGCGGGTATATTTTAAGCAAAAGAGAACTGTCAGATGTGAAATTTGGATAACTGTTGCTGTGGAAAAGAAGTATAGCTCACTTGTACCACATCCTGTTTTGAGAGTTTCCACAGCCAATGCAGTTTTCCACTGATTTTCTTAGGATCATAGAATCATAGAATTATACAGCACAGAAAGAGGCCATTCGCCCCATCATGTTTATGCCGACTCTTTTAAAAGAGCTATCCAAATCAATCCCACTCCCCCGTTCTCTCTCCATAGCCTTGCAAACTTGTCCTCCCCAAATAATTATCTACTTCTCAAAAGTTGTTATCAAATCGGCTTCCACCACCCTTTCAGGCAATGCATTTGCCTGAAAGGCCGGAGTAAGTTGACGGAGGAAGCGGAAACGTTGGTAGGGGGATAGGAGGTTGCAGAGGTAGGGGGAGCAAGGCCATGGAGGGCTTTGAAGGTGAGGACCTGGATCTTGATCTGTATCCTCTTTGTGGAGAAGCCAGTGGAGTCGAGGAGGATAATAATAATAATAATCCTTGCATTTGATATAGTGCTTTTTCACGTCTTCTAGACGTCTCAAAGCGCTTCACAGAATAGACTGTAAAGTGAATTGACTGTATATTTATGGGCAAAACGCGGCAGTCAATTGCGCGCAGCAGTGTCCCACAAACAGTCGTGGATTGAAGTGACCAATTTTTTTTTGAAGGATTATTGTTATCAGGTGTGTGGAGTAAGGACTCCTACAGGATGGGGGTGATGGGGTGGCGGAGCCTGATGCGGGAGAGGACATGGGCTATAGAGTTCTGGATGATTTATGGAGGGAGGACTTGAGGAGGCCAACAAGGTTTACGTAATTGAGCCTGGATGTTATGAATAATTGTATGAGGTTCTCGGCTGCCAGGGTTTGAGACAGTGGAGGAGCCGGTCGATGTTGCAGAGGTGGGGGAAGGCAGAGTGGGTCATGATACAGATGTGGGGTAGAAAGGACAGGGTCAAACAAGACGGCAAGGTTCCGGATTGGCTCGGTGAGTAGTTTGCAGCCTTGGATGGTGATGCTGTCAGTTGCTGAGATGTGTACAAGTTACAACATGTACAGTACAGAATTACAGACTTGCCTTTAAAAAAAACTGTCTAGTGCACAAAGTTAAACACTTTTGCGCGGATACCAGAGAATTTTATCTTGTTTCCACTGTCTACTGGTTTACATTGTGAATTCAGTTGTGCGCATATATGCGGTTGCGGATATGATTACCAAGGGAGCAATGTCTGCATCTACAGTAACCTCCTTGACCAACCAGTGATTATTCGGTGGTGGCGGGGGGGGGTGGGGGGTGGGTGGGGGGGGGTAAGCAGAGCCTATTTGCAGCTAAACTGGCTCCAAGTTTACATTCACAACTAGATTTTTTAAATGTGGACCATCTCGAACAATGATATTAAATTTGTAGATTGGGGTTTTATGAATCAATTTAGGGAGAGAATGTTTTTAATGTTTTTTTAGTGAAAACTGGTCTTTTAATAACTGGTTTACCCGGGGTAAATCTATAACTGGAATCTGTATGTTACTAAAATTTACTGAAAATCTTGCATGCTTATTGATTGTTCTAGCTCAATTGTGGAGGTGCACGAACATGACCTGCGGTGAGAAGAGTTCATCAAAGAGTCTCTGTTCATGTTCTAACAATTGTATTCAGGAGAAAAATTGTTGCACCAACTATAAAAGTATTTGTAGAGGTAAAGGTCTTAACTTTGTTTTGACTTTAGAAAAAAAGTAAAATAAAGCTTGCTGCATTTTCTTTTTCTAGTAATGGTCACGGTTTGTATTCTTATTGTTCAAAATTCTCTAGTGATATAAAGAACACATTATAAATGTTGTTGACAAAATTTATGTGATAAACCTATTACGGGATATTAGTCTTTTCCAATGATCCGGTCAATGTTTTCTCAGAAAAAATAACTTAATTACTTCATTGCTTGCCTGTAGAGTTTTTGTTTCAAATTCAGAGTACTGATCACTGTATAAATGTTATGCTTCCTGGATTACATTTGATACAATCTGTAACCCAGATCATTGATGAATTCTTTAAAAAAAATTCTGTTTAGTAGGAACAAGTAAAAGCAATTTCAATAAGTTGATACACATTCATTTTTCCATAGGTGAAAATACCTGGCTGCAGGATACACATGAAAATATTGATAAGCCAGAGTGTCCAGAAGGGTATGATTACTTTTAATTCCTTGGGTTTAAGTATTAAGTATTCAAGGTTAGCTTTCGGAGTGAGCAAATAAAGAACTAATAAAGTGGAGTGGTTTGGGGCACAATATTGGAATGCACTCCTTTAACCTCTGAAATGTGAGCCTGAATGCAATAGTAATAATAATAATAATCCTTGCATTTGATATAGCGCTTTTCACGTCAGGAGGATGTCCCAAAGCGCTTCACAGAACACACTGTAAAGTGAATTGACTGTATATTTGTGGGTGAACGCGGCAGCCAATTGCGCACAGCAATGTCCCACAAACAGGCGTAGATTGAAAATTACCAATTTATTATTGGTTTTGGTTTTGGTGGGATTATTATTAGGCGTTCCCAAGCTGTTGTTGGATGAATAAGGAGAGTACGTAGCACATACACAGTAATACAATAACAACAACAGCAACAACTTGCACTTATATAGTGCCCTCCACGTAGGGTAGTGTCTCAGAGTGCTTAACAATGGAGGAGCCTGATTCTGAGCCAGGGGGAGGAGCAGGTGGCCATATGCACGGTCGAAGAGGAAAGTTTTCAGGCGGGACTTGAAAGAGGGAGAGAGGGCAAGGCGGGGGGTTTGAGGGAGAGTGTTCTAGAGTTTTGGGGCGGAGTTGCTAAAAGTGCAATCTCTGATGGTGGAGCGGAGGGTGCGAGGGATGAGCAAGTGGCCTGTGCCAGTTGAGCGGAGGCACCAGATGGTGGATTGGTAAGTGAGGAGGTCGGAAAGGTAGGGAGGTGCCAGGGAGTGAGTGGATTTGAACACAAGTGTGAGGATCTTGAAGTTGATCCATTCGGTGATGGGGAGCCAGTGGAGATTGGCCAGAACTGGTGAGGTGGGGGTACGGAGTTTGATCCGGGTTAGTGTGCGGGCAGCAAAGTTTTGAATGAGCTGGACCTTGTAAATGGTGGAGCTGGGGAGACCAACGAGGAGTGCATTGGAGTAATCCAAGCAGGAGGTGACAAATGCATGCACAAGGGTTTTGTCTGCATTTGGGGTAAGGTATGGTCAGCGGCGGGCAATATGGCGGAGGTGGAAGAATGGAGACCTTGTCAGGGACCAGATGGGGGAAGGAAGGACAGCTGGGGATTGAACCGACTGCCTAGGTTGCACACTGATTTGGTGAGTCTGACGGAGAGTTGAGGGAGGTTGAGGAGTTTATGGATCAGTTCGGTGATGAAAAGCCAGTGGAGCTTGGCCAAAACTGGTGAGATGTGGGTCTGGAGTTTGGTACAGGTCAGTATGCAGGCGGCAGAGTTCTGAATGAGTTGGACGTTTTGAATAGTGGAGCTGGGGAGACTGGTGAGAAATGTGTTTGAGTAATCCAAGTGCAAGGTGACAAATGCATGCACGAGGGTTTCGGCAAATGCATGCACGAGGGTTGATGGTAAATCGTGAGGCCGGATTTCTGCCATCTGTGCTTGAGCGTCCAGGTTTATGTTTTGAATGAGCGAAGATGACTGTTGTACGAGGGGGAGCGGGTGGGTTTGGAAACCATCCTGGATTTCAGGGGAGCCAGGGAATTGAAGGTTGTGGAGAAACGATCATTCAGCAGCTTGATGGCTGCATCAAGATTGCTGCAGGGGGAGAGCCAGAGGGAGCGGAGGTCCGAGGAAGAGAGAGCATTTGTGAGGGAAGCTTTATCCAGGGGCAGAAATAAATGGTGGAGGGCTTGGAAGAGGGGAGGGGGATGTGGCAGGAGAGGGAGATGAGGAAGTGGTCCTAGATGCCCTTGTCCGTGATAGACAGGTCGGAAATGTCAAGGCCATGCGTGATGATGAGGTCGAGGGAATGGCCATGGTCGTGGGTCAGCGAGTTGATGTGGAGGGTGAGGTTTAGGGAGGAGAGGAGGGCAGTGAAATCTGAGGAGGTGGTGCAAGGGGAGTTTAGGTGGATGTTGAAATCACCAATTATGAGCAGGTGTTTAGTGCATAGGGACAGGGATGAGAGGAGAGAGGAGATATCGGTGAGGAATGAGCCAGGAGGTTGGGGGGTGGCAGTAAACTAGGAGAATTTTGAGGGAGAGAGAGAGGAGGGATGGTAGAGGATGAGGTGCTCAAAGGAGGAGAAACAGTCAGCGGAATAGGGGGACAGACCAAGGGAAGCTTGGGAAATGAGGGCACTTTGGGGTCCAGGAGAGAGAAGGCAAGGAGGGCGTTGGAAGAGAAGGATAGAGTGGTGTGAGTAATTGGTGTGAATCACTTAAAGGTGTTGTAGTTTTTCCCAATGGGAATATTTCTTGGGGTGCTTCGACTGGCTCCAGCCTCTGGTTTGTCCCTTGTGCTCTCCATTCCACCTTCGGTGAACGTACCTTCGGCCATTACACCCTGAAACTCTGGAACTTTCACCTTCAATCCCTCCACCTTGCCCCCTCCCTCTCCACCTTCAAATGCCGCCTAAAGACTTTCCTTTCTGATCATGCTTACAGTCATCTCCCTCTCCTCCTGGCTCATTTGTCAGACTCAGCCACTGTGAAATTCTCCAGGATGCTACCTGGTGTGAAGGGCACTATATAAATGCAAGTTGTTGTTTGCAAATGTAATTTAATGTGTATGTGCATTAGCATGTGCTTGGCTTAGTGGTAGTACTCTTGCCTCTTAGTCAGAAGGTCGTGGGTTCAAATCCTATTCGGGACTGGTACTGACATAGTCCAATGCACCACTGGGGGGGTGTTCCATTGTTGGAGGTGCCATCCTTCAGAGGTCCAGTCTGCCTGTTCAGGTAGATGTTAAAGATCCCATGACACTATTTGAAAGAGAAAGTGTTTCTCCCAGTATCCTGGCTAACAATCCCCCAAACCAAAAATTGGTCACTCGTTTCATGGCTATTTGTGGACATTGTTGTGCGCAATTGTATTGCTGCGACCTCCCACAAATACAGTCACCTCATTTCACAGTAAATGTTGTGAAATGCTTCAAGACGTTCTTCCGACATGATAGGTGCTTATCATGGCTTACGTGGAGTTCTGCAGCTCAGTGGTAAGAGCACTCGCTTTGCAAGTGAGAGACCTGAGTTCAATTCCAGGCAGGGCGAAACCTTGGGCAAGTTTCCTTACTCCACACCCCTAATAATAATCCCTCCAAAACCAAAAATAATAATAAATTGGTCATTTTCAATCTACGACTGTTTGTGGGACATTGCTGTGCACAATTGGCTGCCGCGTTCGCCCACAAATATACAGTCAATTCACTTTACAGTGTGTTCTGTGAAGCGCTTTGGGACGTCCTCCCGACTTGAAAAGCGCTATATCAAATGCAAGGATTATTATTATTGTTGTTATTATTATTATTATTATTATTATCATAAGACAGAGTCAATCCACTTTGCAGTGAATTCTGTGAAGCACTTTAAGGCATCCTCCTGATGTGAATGGCGCTATATCAAATCCAAGGATTATTATTATTATGACCAAAGATCCTTTATTTCTATGTTTTTTCCTGTTACTGCATTTCATTCACAGGGCTTCACAAAGTTCAGTTAGCTTTGTTTCCTGTTAAGAATTGGCAGTACAGAAGCGTATGTGCCACAATCAACCATGAAGTGAATCACCAATGTTAGCTGTGGGAGGGGGAGGATTGTTGGCCAGGACACTGAGGGAAATTAAAACTCTCCACCAACAACAACAACAAAATTACATTTGCATAGCGCCATTCATGTCGGGAGGACGTCCCAAGGTGCTGGACAGACAAGAGTTACGGACCTGAGCTGAGGGTCGGGGTCGGGGAGGGGGGAGGGCGGGGGGAAAGCAGCGAGATCGAAAGCACCATCGAAGAGGAGTGTCTTGAGGTGGGTCTTGAAGGTGGCAAGGGAAGGGGCGAGATGGAGGGACTGCAGGATGGATTCCAGAGTGTGCGTGTAGAGTGGCGGAAGGCCCACCCGCCGATAGTGAGCCGTGCAAGGCAGAGGTCGTGAAGCAGGCCAGAGCCCGCTGAGCGGAAGGAGCGATCAGGGTGGTAGGGGGTTAGGAGGTCGGAAAGGTAGTGGGGAGCAAGACCGTGGAGGGCTTTGAAGGTGAGGACCAGGATCTTGAACTGTATCCTCCAAGACCACACGAAAGGCACCATATGAATGTTAGGTCCACCATCTGTCAGGCGGGCTTTGAGCCATTCTTCCCTTTTGGGGACAACGTTTCCTTCTCCATCCTCTTGGCTCCTACCCTGAGCTCAGATACCCATTCAGCATTGTTAAGTATTTGAGATGTCCTCCCAATGTGAAAGGCACTACATCAGTGTAAATTGTATTGCAAGTTGTTGTTGTTGTTTTACTCTTGTGAAGTACTGGGCTAATCGTTTCATTGATTTATCCATTAGATCTCGTTCCTGATCAGCACATTATATACTGTCCCATTTAAAACCTATTTTCTCTTTTGATTCCTTGCTTCCGTATTAATTATTGTGCACTGATGTGGAAAGTAATCATGATGTAGAAAGCAATGCAGGTTATCCGAAATAAAAACAGAAGTCACTGGGAACACTCAGCAAGTCAGGTAGCATCTATGGAGAAAGGAAATTGAGTCAATGTTTCGGGTCCACGACTCTTCATCAGGGACTTGTTAACGCAGGTGATCTGTTTTGCGTTAATAGAAGCGAATCTGTAACAACTTGTAGCAATTTTTTCATAAATAAATGGCTGATAAGAGACCTGTCAATACTTATTTTCATAACATAGTCTACATATTGTGAATTTTTTAGATCTTTATCATGATTTTACAGATTCAATCGAAGTCCGGTTATTTTGGTTTCATTGGATGGATTCCGAGCTGATTATTTGCACAAGTGGAGGAATGTTATGCCTGTTCTCGATAAACTGAGTAAGTATCATCGGATAAGACAAAAATAAATGGACAAGTCTTTTTGTGTTAGAGTTTTCTGAGAATTAGTGCTCCAATGCACCAACAAAAAACGTCCTTCCCCTTGTATTAATGAAAATCATCTGGATATTACAAGAACCTTGCAATTTATTAGCTGTTTTATCATCAACCATACTGTTTTGATAACAAAGTGGGTCTAAACAGCAGCACTTTATCAAGACATTCCGTGTGAATGACTATGATTTGCAAGTGAGATTTCCTGAAAAAGGGGATGTACTCCCACAGGAATTCCACACTAAAAGGACCAGGGTTCCAAAAAGTTGATGTGATGTGCTGTATTTCTAGTTATTGGAATGAGTCCCTATTTTTTACTCAATTCCCAGATAAAGGATTCTTGTTAGGGATTGAAAAACCTAAATGTTGTTCTATGAGTAATAGGGTCAGATTAAATGCATTACACTTAATCTGTCCTTTTCTATTCAGTGAAATTTTACAGCCATGTTTTAGCAGAGCTGGTCACTGTTCAACAATATTTGATTCCTATTTCTGGGACTGATGGTAGTGGAGGGTGAGGAGAACAACAATAACGATTTTCCATTTATATAGTGCCCTTCATGCAGGGTAGAATCTTAAAGTGGTTAACACTGGCGGAGTCTGACACTGAGCCTGTGGGGGGTGACCATAGGCATGATCGAAGGTGTGATCTGAAAATGGGTAAGGAGGAGGCAAGTTGGAGGGATTGAGGGAGAGAGTTTTAAAGTTTCGGAGCATAATGGTTGAAAGCACGGTTGCCGACGGTGGAGCAGAGGGGTAGAGGGACAAGCAGGAGGCTGGGGCCGGCCGAGCGGAGGCGGTAGGTAGTGGAGTGGGGAGTAAGGAGTCGAAGAGATATGGATGTGCCAGGGCATGAAGCAATTTGCTCCATTCTGTGATAGGACATGGTCAGCCTTGAAGGAGGAGGCTAGAGGAAAGCATAGAGGGTAGAGATAGGGATAGCACTCATCGTGTTATTTATTAGGTTAGACAAGAGCCCAGCCTAATACATAATTAGTGTTTGAGAGAGAGAGAAAAAGAAGAGAGGTGAGAGTGGACTAGAAGGGAAAAGAGGGAGATTGCTGAAAAAAAGATAATAATAACAATAAAATAAAGCAATACTTAGCCTGGCAATTCGAAAATTGTGTGCATGGAAGTGCTAGTCGCACACAAATCCCAGGCGCCAGAATTCAATCTAATGTTAGATTAACTTAATACTTGACAATATAAAATGACAATCCTTGCATTTGTGGAGTCCTGTAGCTCAGTGGTTAGAGCACTCGCTTTGCAAGCGAGAAACCTGAGTTCAATTCCAGGCAGGGCGAAACCTTGGGCAAGTTTCCTTACTCCATACGCCTAATAATAATCCCTCCAAAACCAAAAACAATAATAAATTGGTCATTTTCAATCTACGACTGTTTGTGGGATATTGCTGTGCGCAATTGGCTGCCGCGTTCGCCCACAAATATACAGTCAATTCACTTTACAGTGTGTTCTGTGAAGCGCTTTGGGACGTCCTCCCGACGTGAAAAGCGCTATATCAAATGCAAGGATTATTATTATTATTATTTGATATAGCACCTCATTATGTCCTTGAGACATCTCAAAGTGCTTCACAGAATATACTGTAAAGTGAATTGACTATATTTTGTAGGCGAAACAGGGCAGCCAATTGCACACAGCAACGTCCACAAACAGTTGTGGATTGAGTAATCAATTTATTTTGGGGTGGGGAAGGGATTATTACCCCATAAAGCGATCTGCCAATTAACGTAACAACTGGGTTCCTACTTACTGCTAGGTAGACAGAGGCACAATATTTGATTCCTATTTCTGTGACTGATGGTAGTGGAGGGTAAGGAGAGCAACGATAACAATTTCATTTATATAGTGCCCTTCATGCAGGTAGAATTTTAGAGTGCTTAATACTTGCGGAGTCTGACACAGTCGGGTCGGGGGGGGGGTGGTGACATAGGCATAATCGAAGGTGTGATCTGAAAATGGGTAAGGAGGAGGAAAGTTGGAGGGATTGAGGGAGAGAGTTCTAAAGTTTTGGAGCGTAATGGCTGAAAGCATGGTTGCCGATAGTGGAGCAGAGGGGTCAAGAGAAGTAAGGAAAGTTGTCTAAGTTTTTGCCCTGTCTGGGAATCATTCCCGGGATCTCTCTCTTGGGAGGCGAGTCCTCTAATCAGTATGCTAAAAGGTTGTTTATGTGGAGCATGCTTGCTGAACTGTGTATAGCTGCTGCTTTACATTTGAGATTTGCCTTCACACAACCTTGGTCAACACAATTCCAAAAATCAGTGTTATAAAATTGCATCAATCTGTTGTGGTGCATAATAGTTTCCTTATTGTGTAACTCCTCCTTTAAGAAAAATCAGGCAAATTTTGGAAGTCTGCAATTCTTTTCTTACAAACTGTCATCTATTTTACCTAAGTATGTCAGCTGTGGTTTTGTCTGTGTTTCGTTTGTGACTTTTAATTGCTATGTTCTCTTTGTGCTGAAAGAATTTATAATAGCATTTAAAAAGGAATTAGGTCAACATTTAGAAAGGAAAATATGAAAGGTTATTAGGAAAAAGCGGGGGAGTTGGCCTGAACAGACTGCTTTTACAGCGAGCCAGCACAAGCAGGCACAATAAGCCAAATGGCTTCTAGTGCTGAAATATTATATGATTATATTATATTATAATCCATGAAAGATTAATGTGATGCTATTATATTATGGGCGGCATTTAAAAGAGAATTATACAGACACATGCAGAGGTAAGCTACTAAAGGGTTTGGGGAACAGTGGAAAGTTGGAATTAGGATGGATGGCTTCTTAGAGCAGAAAATACCCACAAAAACAAATGGGCCAAATGGCCACTGTGTCAGATATTTCTATGGTTCCACGCAGTGCGCTGTCTATGGGGACATCCCTAATGAAAATGTTTTTGTGTTGAGTTATGGGATCTTGAAGTTTTTGGCAGCTAGTGCTGTTCTGGCAGGACCTCAGTTTGCACCAGGAAATATAAATGAATCATTTGATTTGGAAGCAATATTGAATGACTTCCAGCAGTAAAATATGACGTTTAGTTTCATGCTTATATACTACAAACCACCAAATATTTTCATCTGTATTGAATTTGATTGGTTCTGTTATATGACAGACGTTGTTTGACCACTTCATTTTAAACAGTAAAACCACGTTTTGCTGCTGGAAGTCTTTCAATATTGCTTTCAGATCAAATGAGTCATTTGCAGACTCAGTGTAAAGTAGTTACTTCTTGTATGTTTTACCAGTGTAAAAGGTCTGTTAACCAACTGAGCTTTTTCTGTAATGTCATTGTTGTATATATTTACCCTTGGAAAATGTTTTTGGTCAGCTGAGTGTCTGACATATCCAGAAACCTGTCACCATACTTTTAAGAGTATCAACAGCAGGTGACAGATCCACACATGTATACCACCAATATATGGAAATTTCCCAGTGTCTTGAATGAAATGCATACTCTACCTAGAGAGTGCTCAGCCACAGTCAAGCAGTTTTCCGCCATCTGCGCTCGAGCAGACGGGTTTGGGTTTTTTGGCGGTGGAGATGGTTGTTGTACCAGGGGAGTCGGGTGGGTTTGGAGATGGTCCTGGATTTCAGGGGCACAAGGGAGTTGAAGGTGGAGGAGAGGCGATCATGGAGCAGCTGGACGGCTCCTTCAGGATCTCCGCGGGTGGAAGGCCAGAGGGATAAGATGTTTGATGATGAGAGGGCCTTTGTGAGAGTCTCAGGGGGTAGCCTTTTCCAAGGGCGGTAGACCCAATGACTGGTCCAAGTGCTGCTAATGGGCCAAGCTGACTACCTGGCATCAGCAATGCCTTGGAGTAATGTGGTTGACCTGATTCTGACATCCAGTTGCCAAGCATGTCATCTTGCAGGCAGTTCAATTTAGCTCCCTCCCCTCCCCCCAAGGAGGACAGTCACAACTTGGTCATTTGACATGTGAAAAGCGCAGATTTATGCCCTGATTAGGTGGATGGCAGGTACCAGGAACTCCCTACGATCAATACAGCTCAGATTGAAATGTGTGAGAGCCTTGCCACTATCTTCCTGCCTATCGCTCGGACACACATTGAGTGATACTTCAATGAGTTGGAAGTGTGGAGCCTAAGCAGTAGCTGTATACCAATCAAGGTGGATATGAAGCCCTGGATATATCAAGGTCTGGAGATGTCAGAGAATTGTGTTGAGTTCCAGGCTGCTGTTTGAGAGCATAGACTTGACAGACAACAAATCATTCACCAAACCTATATTACGTTCTCCACAGTTCAGGTTCATTACATTTGTTCAAGGTTAATTTGAGAACTGCTTTGGAGTTGTATCAAATAAAGGAGAAGACAAAGACTTGTGTTGCTCTGATATGAGGTTCCGAACGCCAGTGCCTCTTTTATCTGCTCTTTTATGTTCACAGACGTCTGAAGTAGCATATTTATATGAGATATGGGGATGATTATATGAGCAGAATTCACAGTGCGTGTGTTATATTACAGGTAACTGTGGAACATATGCCTCACACCTGATACCAGTGTATCCAACTAAAACCTTCCCCAACCATTACTCCATTATCACAGTAAGTTGACTTGGTTTCTGAAATATTGAATGTATGTTAACATGATTCATATTTTGCTGATCTTCCTGCTTCCCCCTCTTGATGTGTGCATAGTATTTTCAGATTTCTTTTTTGTGATTAAAATATCTAGATTAGCCAGAATCTATCTGCTTTTAATTTCTAGTGAGTAGTCGAGTAAATTGTGTTGCATAATTAGCACTAGTGATAAATAATAATAATCTTTATATTTGATATAGCTCCTTTCACATTGGGAGGATGTCTCAAAATGCTACAGAGGATATACTGTAAAGTATAGTGATGGTGTATTTTTGTAGGCAAATAATGCAACCAATTTTGCACACTGCAGTGTCCCACAAACAGCCATGAGATGAGTGACCAATTTAATTTGGGGGGATTATTGGCACTGGGAGAAACTCCCTTCTCTTTTTGAATAGTACCATGGGATCTTTAATACCCACTTGAACAGGCAGACAGAACCTTAGTTCAACATCTCATCCAAGGACAATGCAGAGCAGCCCCCAGCACTATATTGAAGTGTCAATGAGTTCAAAGTGCTGACAATGTGGCTTGAATGCACAACCTTCTGATGAATTGCAATTTGCTTTACATTCACCTTGTTGTGCAGTGATTGGTGAGAATCCTGAGCCAGATTTCACCGATCAACTCTTAGAATGCCGTGGGTTAATTCACCCTCATGAGCACTGATAGGGTCCATCTTTAATTGTGCTCGTTCACCAAAGCGGAGACTAACTCGGTTCTCACCAAACATCCTCACTTATGCACCTTTTAGCAGGGTCTCCGGAAACCTGAGGATGACTTTCAGTATTGGACACAGTTAGAGTGGGGAGGAGAGAGCTCAGTCAGCGGGGCTCAGTCAGCAGGGTGCAGGCAATGTGGGGGTGTGGTCAGTGTGGGGTGTAATCAGTTTGAGTGGGAGACACCAGTTTTGTTGTATTTTTAGACTTCTGTCCTCATTTCTCAGAACAAGCTTTATTCACGAATCTTTCTGAAAGCTATTGATTTAAATAAAGTGTTAACCTTTTCTATTGCTATAGTAGTCAGAATACAACTAACTTTAACAATAGTTAAGAGAAAGATAGTTGAAAATATTACAAAACATCTCGAGTTCTTAGGGTCACTCAGTACATGCCCTGTACATTAGTATTGACTGCAGTTTAATCTTGACATTGAATCTATTGCATTAATAAGACACTTCTCTTGTAGCAAAGAGCAGAAATGTGACTACCTCATTGTTTTAAATTTTAGGGGCTGTATCCAGAGTCTCATGGTTTGATTGACAATAAAATGTATGATGTGCAGATGAATGCTAATTTCAGTCTACGAAAGAAAGAGAAATTCAATCCCGCTTGGTACAAAGGGGAGCCTGTGAGTATCATAAGCAATATTAATCTCTGGAACTCCATCCCACAGTCCTCCGTCTCGCCCCTTCTCTCACCACCTTCAAGACCCACCTCAAGACCCTCCTCTTCGAACGTGCTTTCGATCTTCTGCTTCCCCCCACTGCCCTCCCCCACTCCGACCCTCAGCTCGGGTCCGTAACTCTGTCTGTCCAGCACCTTGGGACGTCCTACCGACCTGAAAGGCACTATATAAATGTAATTTTGTTGTTGTTGTAATCTATGTGTTGGGACAGTTCCATTTTAATTGATTCATTTCCTGTATTAGTGACATGCATAGTGTTCCCCAGTCAATAGGAGCACAAATAAACATTAGGAAGGTATTTACCTGCAGAATACAATACAAATTTAGGTGTATAAAGTGCCTTTTGTGTCGGGAGGACGTCCAAAGGCGATTGACAATTCTGTCTTGACTGAAGCACATATGCAAAAGAAATGAATAATAAAATATTAGAATAACTTTGGCTTTATTTAGCACCTTTCACTTAAATGCCTCAAAGTGTTTTACAAAATATAATTAATTATGGTTAAAGGATGGGGCATTGGGATTAAAACGTCTGCCAAAATCTGATAAACTCAATGGGCAGAATGTATCCTCCTGTTCCCATTTTCCTGTGATTCTAAATGAAGTGACGGTTATTATATAGGCACATTCAATCACAGTTGTGAAAGATTAGCCTATGAAAATTAGAAGCTGTAATAAATATACGCTGGAAACTGATAAGGTTATTCTCCACCTGTTGGTAACTTTACTGACCTAGACAGCAAGCTTGTATTGTTCTCCATTTATTGCTAAATATCTACCTCTGTAACCTGCAGTCTCACACTCACTCTCTCCGCTCTACCAACTGAGACCTGCTTAAAGTACCCCGCCCCACATCAGTGGACAAGCTTTCAGCCACTTTGCCCCTGTTCTCTGAAACTCTTTCCCTAAATCTCTCTGCCTCCTTCACCCCCCCCCCATAATCTCTGTAACATTATAATTTTGGTAATTACAACGGAGAGTGTAATCGTCAGTCTCAATTGCTGAATACATGCATTTTGTTAATGTTTTGTGATTTTGTGCTGTCACATATGCCTCAAATTCAAGTATCTTATTTGAATGCCTCTAGAATTCAGCAATACGTACTTTGCAGTTTTTCTCATACTTTTATTCTGTTTTGTTGCTTAAATTTATTTTCTCATTGTTATCTTCATCGTCTTCTCCTTTTGAATGTTCAAAATGACCAGAGATGTACAGATAAGCCCTCACCCTATTTGATTGTGTCCTCTGTAATACCCATTCTAAAATAATTACAATGTCAAACTATTTCTTAAATAAATCCAGTGTCCACCAGCCTCGTTCACCCTTCCAGGTAACCCTGGCAACCCATTCCAACAATTGACTATCCTGTGTTTTTTTGTGGTCAGCCTGGTGTCTGACATATGCAGAAACCCATCACCTGAAGAATATCCAAACCAAGTAAGATTTCCACTCTACCCACCTACACATGGAAATCCCAGAGATAGATTGCTGGAATGGAATATATACTCTCTTCAGGGAGGGACGCATCCTGCTTACCTAATACCGGACAGTATTAGCTGCCAGTTGTCGAACCATGCCTTGGGTACCCAAAGTGTGCGTTGGGGTACTGCTGGAGTCTTAACCAGCTAAGTTCTGCATATTTTGTCATTGATACTGTTGTCTGGTAAGCTTTCCCACTGCTTGTCCAGCTAGGACCACTCTACCTGTCAAGGTTTGGGCTTTTTGGGTTAACAAGAGCTGAGTGGGATGACTGCCTGCCTGCCCCCACTGACTGGTCTGCCCTTGCAGGACCTGCTAATAAGCCAGGCTGGCTGTGCTGTCATCAGCAGTGCCCTGGAACACTGCAGACCCGCCTGACTCAGGAACTGGACTACCAAGATCACTACAGAGGCCTGACTTGATTCCAACATTCTGTTACCAGGCATGTCACCTTGGAGCCAGTTGGAGGTCCCAGCTTACCTCCCACGCCCAAGGAGGAGAGATTATCTATTCTGTGCAAATAGATTTCTCGGTGAAAAATTCCCTTCAGAACCCCAAACCCTTTTGTTGCATTAGTGTATGTGAAAGTATTGTTCTGTAGTCTCCCTTTTTTTCAAGTCCCACCTGAAAACCTGTTTATTTTTATTGTGCAGTAGAATATCGTTATAACACATTCAGTCATTGGGCCATTGGGTGATTGGGGTGTGGATCCAGATGTTTATTTGAATAAACATTCAAAATGCATTCAGAAAGCCAGCTGGCTCAATATGGATTACGTTGTCTCACTTCACTTCATGCAAGTACAGTAAAACTCACATAAGCCCTATTTTAATAAATTGTTAAACGTCTCAAGTTGTACATTCTACTATTCAGTTTCCAATCAAAACCACTGAGATTTCTTTACACTTACTTGTATTACTCACCTCTTTACTCGTAACGTCGCTCCTCTACCCTGCATTACTCCGACGCTTATCGTAGACCTTGCAGGAAACTCGGTAGTCTGGTTCTTGTGGCGGTCTCGGGAATTGCGGGAAATGATATTCACATTTACCTGCCGGCTGCATTGAACCACGGGAAACATGGTCTTCATCCATCGACGTAGGAGCAGAAGAACTTAATTTCCCGCAATTCAATGCAATTCCAATGTTTGCCGATAAGTGTGCATGTGGTGACGGGTGAAGACGCATTGAGTCATAAGAAATGTAGTCTTGACCCATCACTGCATGCGCACTTATCGACTGCAATGACAAATTACCACATGTGCACATACAAGCTGCATTGAATTCCGCATGCGTAATGTAGATTATTGATTAAATCAGATTTTCTAGGAGTTCTAAAGTCTGCCTGCAACTCGGATTCCACATAAGTCGTATTAAATGTTATGGTTCCAACTGATACACTTACGTGAGTTTTACTGTATGCGTCGATTGAGACTGCTAATCATGCAAACAAGAGGACCTGGGTTCAATTCCCGGGCAGGGCAACCCTTAGGCAAGTTTCCTTATTCCACACGCCTCTGTTTACCTAGCAGTAAGTAGGAAGCCGGTTCTTAGTCGACTGGCGGATTGCTTTCAGGGGGTAATAATCCCATCAAAAAATTAATAATAATAATTTGGTCACTCAATCCACGCATGTTTGTGGGACACTGCTGTGTCCAATTGGCTGCCATGTTTCGCCCACAAAATGCAGTCAATTCACTTTACAGTAAATATTCTGTGAAATGTTTTGAGACATCTCAACGACGTGATAAGGGGCTATATCAAATGCAAGGATTATTAATGTAAGACAAGTTGAGGTTTTATGAACCCACTACTACTGTGTTGGACCCAAAACTACTGCCTTAAACAGGGTTCTACTGTATCATAGTTTCCAGGACGTTATGATAGCTTACAATAAACAAGGAATGGAAAAGCTTTATTTTATGCCTTAGAGAATTATTTGTAACAATCACACTAAGTTTGGGCAACTGAGGTCCTACAGTTAGTCAATTATTATCATTTGTTCTCTCTACAGTTGTGGCTAACAGCTATGTATCAGGGCTTGAAGAGTGGCATCTTCTTCTGGCCTGGATCTGAGGTCGCCATAAATGGAACCTACCCAAACTTTTACAAAATCTATAAAAGGTGAGCAGAATATACAAAAAAAATTGTTAAAAATAAGTTCTTTTCTTTATACATTCTGTAACTTTTCCCCTCCCCTAATTTATTTTATGCATGTAATTCCAAATTTCAAAAACAAAATACAGTAAAGCTCTGTTGTAACACGCTTCATAATAATCTGAAGCATGGAGCCCAACATTTACTTACCCAGAGTAAATGTTACTTACCAAGTCCAAATTCCATGCACCAGTTCCCATCAGTGCTTCAAATGGCAACTGGTAAGTGTGAAACAAAAATGGCTGACTTCTAGGTTATTCAGTCACTGCTATGCTTTATGAAGGAAGCGATATTAGCAGTGTTTCGTGCACATCTTGCGCATGTTACAACACACAGGAAGCAATATCAGTAGTGATCTGATGACCAAGAAGTCTGCCATCACAACCCCCAGCATCATGCTACAAAGGGTTCTATATTATTATGTTGCATTTACACATCTCTGTTTTTTTTGTTCAGAAGCATTACATTTGAAAAAAGAATTTTCGAAATTCTTCAGTGGCTTGATTTGCCCATCAAAGACAGGTAACTATTGAAACCAATAGTGGTAATGAGATACCTAGGGAACATCCTCCCTAGGGGATGGTGGAAGCAAAAAGAACAGTATATAGTTTGGGACACGACATGTCAAGTGATTTCCAGGATGGTGGAAGGCGAACCTGATGGACCTTGGACCTTGGTATTCTTTCGCCTAGCAAAGATCGTATGGTCTTATACCTGTAAGCTATTCTTCATAATGCACTGTAGTTTTACTTGTGATTTTGGGGTACTGTAGAGCTTTAAAGTGATTTTAAACAAGAAATTAGAAAACATTCTAATACCAGAAGACAATAAAGTATCAAATGTGACAATTCATGAGTTATAGAGGATTAATTTATAACTCTTCTTTTTAATCTACTTGTTATATTAGGCCTGATTTGTACACCCTGTACTTTGAGGAACCAGACTCGACAGGACATCAATTTGGGCCTAATAGTAATGAAGTAAGTTCATTTCAGCCCTCTCTGGTAACTCAATAATTTGAGGTCAAGTGACAATTGAAGTAGCAGAATACGAGTCCAGATTTTCTTCACATCACTTTTTAGAGAGGTCCCAAGTTTGGCTCTTGATCTGTGGTGACCTCAGGGGAGTGAAAAAGGAGCTGTGAATTCCCTGACGTAGGAAAAAATGAATCAGTCAGGATTTCTACTCCCGAGTCAGCAGTGCATTAGTCAAGATTCCAATCATTAGGAACAATTGTTTGAAGCTACGCATGTGTGAAGATCACATGAGGATACAATTGGGTTTGACTATAAACCTTACAGGTATCAGCCTGCCTCTATCAGTAGCATTCTCTATATATTGTCTTATCAGTGTCTATATACAGTGATAGACACTGGGAGAGGCTGTGTGTGGACAGTGAGAGAAACTGGGAGAAGCTGTGTGTGTATACAGGAGAGACACTAGAAGAGGCTGTGTGTATACAGGAGAGGCTGTGTGTACAGTAGAAACACTGGAAGAGGCTGTGTGTTTACATGCCTGATAATAATCCCTTAAGAAAAAAACAATAATGATTTGGTCACTCAATCCACGACTGTTTGTGGGACACTGCTGTGCCCAATTGGCTACCCCGTTTCATCCACATATATACGGTCAATTCATTTTATAGCATATTCTGTGAAGCGCTTTGAGATGTCTGGAAGACGTGAAAAGCGCTATATCAAATGCAAGGATTATTATTCTCACCTCTGAGTCAGAGATTGTGGATTCAAGCCCATTGTTGGGACTTTGAGCTCAGAGTCTAAGCTAACTCTAATGCAGTGCTGTAGCGCATTATTGGAAATGCCGTCCTTGTCCGTCTGGCGTTCAGGTATACTTTAGAGATCCCATGGAACTATTCAAAAAGCCAAGGGAGTTTCTCCTGGTGTCCTGGCCAACAACGCCCCAGATAAACAAACACAAAATACTGCAGATGCTGGAAATCTGAAACAAAAGCAGAAGTCGCTGGGAACATTCAGTAGGTCAGGCAGCATCTATGCAGAAAGGAAAGTGAGTCAATCTTTCGGGTCCATGACCCTTCATCAGAACAGTAGAAAAGCGTTCTGATGAAGGGTTGTGACCCGAAATGTTGACTCACTTTCCTTTCTCTATAGATGCTGCCGGACCTGCTGAGAGTTCCCAGCGACTTCTGTTTTTGTTTCAATGCCCCAGATAAAATTGCTCATTCACTTCATAGCTATTTATGAGACATTGCTGTGCTACAAATTGGCTGCCGTGTTCACCCCCAAATATAGTCAATTCACTTTATATTCTGTGAAGCGCTTTGAGACATCTAGAAGACGTGAAAAGTGCTATAGCAAATGCCTGGATTATTATTGTATCTCAATGACAATGCAATATGAGATGCAAGGATTATTATTATTATTTGCCCTGCCCTATGGTTAAAGGCAACAATAACTTGAATTTATATAGCGCCCTTCATGTGGGACAGCATCTTGGTTTGATATAGCGCCTTATCATCATCAAGACGTCTAAAAGCGTTTCACAGAATATACTGTAAAGTGAATTGACTGTATATTTTGTGGGTGAACCACGGCAGCCAATTGTGCACAGCAGTGTCCCACAAACAGTCGTGGATTGATTGACCAAATTATTATTATTCCTTTTTTTGATGGGATTAGATTATTACCCCCGAAAAGCGACCCACCAATCGACTACGAACCGGTTTCCTACCTACTGCTAGTTAGACAGGCGTGTGAAGTGAGGCAAGGCGAAATAAAAAAGGGATTATGCCAACACTCACAAAGCCTAGACAATGGCTGAGCAAGACTAACAACCAGCAAACAGTGCTCGGGAGCATACTTCCTTCAGGTGAGGAGGGGAGAAAACTGGAAAATAAAAGATTACTCTGGTCTTTTTTTTGCACTTTTCTGTTTTGGGGGATTTGATACCAGTCATTTTATTGAATTTTTAAAAAATATTCAAAACCAAACTTCACCATTAGTGCAAGGAATTCGATTGGTGAACACCATAAGTGAGATGTCATTATGCAGGTTTGTGCACTGAAGTTGTGGCATTTTTTGTTCTCCTGATGTGCAGGTGGGAAAAAAACTGAAGATGGTGGATGAGATGTTGGGCATGTTGATGGATGGACTTAAACAAAGAAACCTGCATCGATGTGTCAATCTGATTGTTTTATCTGACCACGGTACGGAGCCTGAGCCTTCACTAATATAGTAAATAACCAATTTGATTTGTCTCTCATACCAAACCTGCAGTTATTCTGGTGTATTTACTCTCCACTATTTCCCCCTGTCCTGTTCAGATCAGTCCATGACCACTGTCAATGCTGCTGAGTGATCAGCCAGCGTTAGGCTGGATTGATGAAGAATTATTATATCAGCCCCTGAAAGTGTAATGAATGGAGCTGCAGCTAACGGATCAGGAGCTTGCTGGTTCAACTCCCGGTTTAGGAACATAGGACTAAGAGTAAGCCATTCAGCCCCTTGAGCCTGTTTCACCATTCTATTAGATCATGGCTGATCTGTAACTCAACTCCAAATACCCACCTTTGTCCCATATCCCTGATACCCTTAGCTAACAAAAATCTATCCACCTCAATCTTAAATTTTTTTTTAATGGATCCAGCATCCATAGCCTTTTTTGGGGGAAGAGTTCCAGATTTCCACTACCCGAAAGTACTGAGTTTGCTGGCCTAAGCTGGTCTACCCAACTCCCAGTCCCTCTATAGCACCCTCTGTTATGCACTTGTGTAACAGCTTTCATTCCAAATCTGAGGCACTGCTGAAATACCCTCTACAATCATGTGGCCTACCAGCACTCAATGTCAAGGCTCATGCATGAACAATGGTCACCAGGGCAGGGTACCGGAGGGTCACCAGTGCCTGTGGAACTGTACCTTCACATGAGGAGACAGGATTAGACAGGCATCCAGTATTAGGAAGAAAATTAGAAAAAATAATTGGACACAATAAATTTGAAAAAAATCTTTAATATAATAGGTATTATTAAAAAAGTATCAAAGATATATATATATATATAATAAATGCTGTACTCTGTCTGGCGCCTTGGACTGTCCTCCTGACGTGCAAGGCGCTATACATATGTAATCTTGTTGTTGTATATTGTGTCTGAGCTTCAGTACTGTGCAGAACTGGAAATCATAGGTCCACTGTGTGCTGAGAGAGCAACCTGGGTATTTGGTGGGACTTGATGGGTGGCCTCAACTTCTACTGACTAGAGGAAGGATTATTTTTAAGGGAGACATCAGGTTTTGGAAAGCCCGTGTGTCCATAATGAAAGTGAGTTAGTCTCTGCCTTGAAGAGAAGAATTCTGAGTGGAGAGTATTGGGAAGCAGAGGAAAACTGTAACAAAAAAGGTCAGGCTTCCAGTTAACAATGTGAAGTGATTTGAGATATCCTCTTGACCTGAAAGATAAAGATAAATCTAAAGTTTTGTTATTATTGTCGTTCTTACGTTGCAGGAATGGAAGAATTTAGCTTTTCAAGGATTGAATATATGAGCAATTACGTGGACAACGTTGACGACTTCTACATGGGTTCTGGTCCAGCTCCTCGCATTAGACCAAGCAATGTCCCCAAGGACTATTTCACATGTGAGTAATTCTGATATTAGCATTGGAATTGCAGACAATAGTAACATTGCTTTTGATGGAACAATGTAGGCTGAATAGAGGCCTGAGAAAGGTCTCCAAAACAAGTGTGGACTTTGTTCTTTGACATTTGCATCTGCCTTCCCACAAAATCCATATAAGGTTCCCACAGACCATATATGGTTAAATGAGACACAGCAAGCAGCTTCATGCCAAAAAAATCTGATTGTGAGCCTGACAATAGGATCAATGTGATGTGTGCCCCAACATCAACAATAAAGGGAACATTTCTGTAGAAGCTAAGAATGTAAAAAACATGTAATACCTGTCTGATAATAACCATTGACCTCATACTCCCTTTTTTCTTCAGCATTTCAGAGCACCAACAAATTGGCCAATTCTTAAATATAGTCTTAATGTGAAGCTGGTTTTCTGCAAGTTCTTGCAGGAAAGCACATTTCAAAACTAAGACAGAATTCAACATTTTGTCAAATTCTGTACGCTTTAAAATACTACACAAAAAAAATCTAGACCCAGGTGGAATTTTTCCCCACATTCCTTTTTTTTAAAAGAAAAGGATTGACCTGAAAAGTAAAAAGGTGAACAGTAAAAAAAATCAAATTAATTGTTTAACTAATCTTGTTATAATAGGTACACAGAAAACGAGTTGGTCAAAATTGCAGTTTGGAATTGTTATCCACTATGGGTGTAACCTCACTGACTTCAGGACACATAGTGGTTGGTTATGAAGCAACAACAACAAAATTACATTTGTATAGCGCCTTTCATGTCAGGAGGACGTCCCAAGAGGCTGAACAATCAGTGTTTCCAACCCGAGCTGAGGGTCGGGATCTGGGAGGGTGGAGGCATGGGGGGAAGAAGGGTGACTGAAGACACAGTTGAAGAGGATGGTCTTGAGACGGGTCTTGAAGGAGGCAAGAGAGGGGACAAGGTGGAGGATCTGCGGGATAGAGTTCCAGAGGGTGGGGGCAGAATGGCCGATGGTGGGGTGGGCAAGGCGGGGCACGTGATGCAGGCCAGAACCTGCTGCGTGGAGGGAGCGGACAGGTTGGTAAGGGGTTAGGAGTTTGCAGAGGTGGGGGGAGCAAGGCCGTGGAGGGCTTTTAAATTGAGGACCAGGATCTTGAACTGTATCATCAGTGTGATGGGAAGCCAGTGGAGTCAGGTGAGGATGGGGGTGATAGGGTTGCAGAGCCTGGTGCGGGAGGGGACACGGGCTGCAGAGTTCTGGATGATCTGTAGCCTATGGAGGGAGGAATTGGGGAGGCCGACAAGCAGGGAGTTTTCGTAGTCGAGCCGGAATGATATGAATGTCTGTATGAGGGTCTCGGTGGCCTGGAGTGTGATGACAGTGGCGGAACCGGGCAATGTTGCGTAGGTGGGGGAATACAAAGCAGGTCATGGCAAGTTATAATAGGGTTCAGTGTAGTAGTATGCAATACGGTGCAATAGTATAGAATTGAGAGCGGTAGATTGTGATCGGTACCCTTAGCAATTTCTTCTTAGGGATGTTGAGTGGATACTGTGTACTCACATAGAGGGAGGAAAACTCACTGTCAGCCAAAGTCACTTTCCTGCACCTCCTCTGATATGCATTTGACTGCAGGATTCAAGCTTGTCCTCCTGGATGGTGAAGGCAGCTTCAAAGGAGAATTGTTTTTAATTAAAAACAGTCTCACTCAAAAGAAAATTTGTATGTGAGACACTTGTTTAAGTCACCACACTTGATAATTGCTTATGAATCACTGCGAGGTGTTTTGATGTGATAAAATGCTATAAAAACATGAGTTCCAATTTGATTGTGTCTTTTCCAGTTGATGCTGAAGGTCTTGTAAGAAAACTTACAGTGAGTGGATTTTGCACTATTTTACAATACAGTACAATTTACATTTCTGTAGCACCTTTCACGTCGGGAGGACGACTCAAAGGGCTTTTAAAATACAAGATGAATTTTACATTTTTCTCATATGTTTTCAAACATTTATAATTTAGTAATGTGAAATCATAGTTGTAATGCAGTTAGTGAGTGAGTGAGCAAGCATGTTCTTCTTAATATGTAACTTTTCCTTCATTATTTTAGTGCCGATTACCTGGTCAGCATTTCAAGCCCTACCTGAAACGTTTCCTGCCAAAGCGTTTCCATTATGCCAACAGCCTAAGGATTGAAGAAGTTAATTTGTATTTGGACCCACAGTGGCAGGCTGGGCTGTGAGTTGGTTTCAATTGAGAACTTTGCGTAGTTTGCAACTGAAGAATTGTAATAGCCCCTCTTTGGATAAGAGAAGAAATTTCTCCTGGTTCCTGGTCAACAATCACATGAGTTGGCTTTCACCTTATAACTGTTTGTAAGAGTGTTGCATAAGCAACCATCACAGTTGACAGTAGATGCTTGTGAAGCATGTTTGCGATGTTTTGACATAAGTTGCTCTAAAAATGGCAGTACATTTTTTCCTGGTATTTGAGTAATTTTATTAATGTTGTTTTCAGCCTGAAAGCAGTACTAGAAATGTACAGCTTGGCTGATCTCTAATGTCTTACTGGCATGGACATACCAAGCTAGGTTAAACAGATTAAAATTGTTATCATGATATGCACATCACAGTGTTTGAGGATGGCTTGGCTTTGGCACCATTCCAAATGTTTTTTATATATAGTTAGTCAAACAACATAAGCCCTGTTAACTGAAGAATGCAAGGAGCCCTTGCCATATTAAGGAAGTTTCTCCTGGTGATAAAATTGGTCATTCTCTTCATTGCTGTTTGTGGGACATTATTGTGTGCAAAACACAAAATACTGCAGATGCTGAAAATCTGAAACAAAAAGAGAAGGCCTGACCTGCTGAGTGTTCCCAGCGACTTCTATTGTGTGCAAACCCTAACCCTAAGTGCGCAAATTGGCTGCTACGTTCACCTACAAAATGCACAGTCAATGCCATTTACAGTAATTCCTGTGAAACGTTTTGAGAGGACCCCCTGACGTGAAAGGCGCTATGTCAAATGCAATGATTATTATTATTTTATTAAAAATGGCAACGTTTAAATGGGAGAAATGCAGGTAAAGATTTCTGAGTTTTTGCTTAATTAGCTTGGGTGATTGGGAATTGTCTGCAAGGTTTTTTCCATGTGATGTAGTGGGTGTGTGGTTGAATGTTAAGGTCAGATATAGGAGCTGGGGGGAAGGAATTTGTGGCCATCATCTTGACCAGTTGGGGGACGACTTAAATCATCGTAGAATTCAGTATCATTTGGTAACATTAGAAAGTGATTATTTATTACAAACGTGTCCAGACTGGAATAGCTCAACAGAAATGTGCGCATCATGGAAAAATAGTTCATGTTACAGTGAAAGAGGGCACCATATTCCCTCTGTTTCTGATCAGCCCAAAAGAGATTGACAACTCATGTTACATTCTTTTCTCAGGAAACATGGTTCTATCAAGTATTTGACTGGGGGATTCCACGGCTCTGATAATCGATACAAAAACATGAGGGTGAGTGTTGTAGTAATAATAATAATCCTTGCATTTGATATAGCGCCTTATCACGTCTTCGAGATGTCTAAGAACTGTATCTTGCATCGTTCCCTTGCAAAGGACACAAAGATCAGTTTGTATGATGTTTGAATCAAATGGCCCTTTGGCTCATTTGATCTCATCCTTCCAGAACAACCACCCACCTTACCATTCTCCCATCACAACATCAAGCTTTTGTCAAAAAATAAGTACACTCAGAAAAGAAAATGAAATCTTAATTTTGATACCTTTTGTACTTATAATAATGATGTACTCTTATTAATAATAATAATCCTTGCATTTGATATAGCGCTTTTCACGTCTTCTCGACATCTTAAAGCGCTTCACAGAATAGACTGTAAAGTGAATTGACCGTATATTTGTGGGCGAAACGCAGCAGCCAATTGCACACAGCAGTGTCCCACAAACAGTCGTGGATTGAAAATGACCAATTTATTACTGTTTTGTTTTGGAGGGATTATTATTAGGCGTGTGGAGTAAGGAAACTTGCTCAAGGTTTCGCCCTGCCTGGAATTGAGCCCAGTCTCGCTTGCAAGGCGAATGCTCTAACCACTGAGCTACAGGACTCCATTGTAATAATAATATTATTATTAAATAATATTTTGTATTATTTACATTTGCAAAATACAAAATATACAGTTACAACACTTCCTGTGACGTGTTTTGAGATGTTTTGACGACGTGCTATTCATTTTAAGTGATTTGGTAATCATTGTGTTTCTTTGGTAACTGAAGGCCCTCTTTATAGCCTATGGACCTGGGTTTAAAGACAACACTGAAGTTCAACCATTTGCCAATATTGAAATCTATAATCTGATGTGTGGTAAGGACCTGAACATTTTTATGTTTATTGTAAGATATTTTGAGTCATCAAGTGATTTTAATTATATAACTAGTAGAGGAGTTGGTGCTACATTTCTTCAAGTAACCTTTAATGACATTGTTTTGAATATCACAAACTGTGTTCTCCAACCTTAAGTTTATTGGATCATTGAAATCTCCGTGTACATGTGATGTGATAAATAACACTGGTGCTAATTAACAGATAGCGGTACATTGCACTCCATTAGCAATCCCAGTCAATAATTAACATTACCACCTGTAAGGGAACACAACTGTAAACAGATTGACTACGTATAGCTTACTGTGTCCAGGCATACACCACACTACCCAACTCCATGATTTAATAATAAAAGTAAAATAATAATCCTTGCATTTGATATAGCGCCATATCACATTATTGAGATAAAGGTAAAGATCTCTCCTGCAGATAGAACCCACCAATAAACCCTTGCAGATAGTCACCTATATTTACCAACAAAAGTCATTAGATTTGGGAGGAGATCCTGTGAAGCACTTTGAGATGTACTCCCAACATGAGAGTGCTATATCAAATCAAGGATTATTATTATTATACGAACCCATCAGTAAACAGATATACATATATGCACTCACTAATCAACATGCAGAAAAGCACTTCTTAATAAATCTTGCCGATATGTATCTACCAGAATACCCTGGAGATATGTGAAATATTTGATTTTAATTACGCTTGGTCAAAATTTCACCTGACACCAATGAAAGTGCTCTGAGACGCTACCCTGCGTGGAGGACGCTATATAAGTGCAAGTTGTTATTGATGAAAGTAAAAGTAACTGAACATTATTTTCTCCTCCTTATATTTAATATTGCTTATTTCCCTCCCTTAGATTTGTTGGAGATCACCCCTGCACCTAACAATGGATCTCATGGGAGCCTGAATCATCTTCTGAAGAAACCTATCTTTAACCCTACTCATGCCAAGGAAAGGTCATCACCAACTTCATGTCCTTTTACCAAACTGGCTCCAAATGATAGTCTCGAATGCTCATGCAGTCTTCCGGTAAGTTAAGCAATATCGAATCTGAGAAGGTAAAGTTACATAGTCTTGAGGTCCTCAGAATGAATGAGTTGAAGTGAAGTTACAGAGAGGAGGGAGATATATTTGAAGCTGCAAAATAAGAGAGGAAAGTTTGAAGAAGGAAAGCATTGTAATAACAAATAAAGACACAGAGAAAGCACAGTCAGAGAGCAGAGAGGAATCAGCCAAAAAGCCTTTTCTTGTATTTCTTCCAAGAGTGCAAAAGAATTGCTAGAGATGGGATTATGATCCAGATCTTGACAAACTGAAGTTTATTATAAATTGTTGAGGGTAACAGAAATGGCTGGCCCAAAAGAGGGAACAGAACGTAATCTTTTCTCTTTATATTTAGTATGCCTTTGACTCTCTTTTCTCCCTTTTCCGTTTAGTCTCTCTAACTTTCTCTCTCTGTCTCTTTCTATGACATTCTCTGTATCGTCTATGTAAAATCTCTGTATCGTCTATCTTTTTCTATCAATGCTCCACAAAAGTATATATTAAGCACTTGCCTTTGTGCTAAAAATAATCTAGTTGTGGACAAGGGGAAGTTGTACCATATGCACAAGTTACTAGTAGCGCTATTGCTACCAGGAGGCTCGGTGAAGTTGATTTTTTTTTCCAATATTAAATTTTCGAAGATTTTAATTCCAAGGTATCATGTTTGTAAGTAAATAGACTTGTGGATAATTGGCCAGTGAATAACCAGTTTTTGATTGCTTTAATATTTAAAAACAGCCTGTAAACTTCCTTATAATAATAATAATGTTTTACAATTTGTTTAATAATAATACCTAAAATACCTAATATTTCTTAAACAAAATGATTTTCAACATTTTAGGCCTCATTGTCAAGAATCGTCAAGAAATTAAATCTTTCCTCGACTGAAGGTAGGAAACTGATACTTGAAAGCTGGTGTAGAATAATATTAATAATCCTTTATTATTTGATATATTTGTATTTGATATAGCGCTTTGTCTTATCTTTGAGACATCTCAAGGCACTTCACAGAATATACTGTGAGTTTTGTGAGCGAAACATAGCAGCAGTCTTTAGTAGAAGGACGGATGGAGGGAACTGTGTAAAAGGTTAGAAATGACAGGACTTGCATATTGCAAATAAATGCTCTTGAACTTGTGTGGTTTATCTTTCCAGTGCAAAATGCAAATGCTCAACATGTCCCATATGGCCGTCCAAGAGTTTTACAGGACGGCAGCAAGTACTGCCTCCTGCATCAACATATGTACATAAGTGGCTACAGTCATGACATTCTAATGCCACTCTGGACGGCATACACGATCAACCAAATGGTGAGTCCTATTAATATCATTTGACTATCTATTTGGACACCATCAGTGTTTAATACTCTGCATTGGTCTCAGGTGTCAGTCTAGCTCAGTTTGTGGCACTCTTGCCTCTGAGTCAGCAGGTTGTGGATTCAAGCCCCAGAGTGGTGACTTTGAACTTATAGTCTAGATTCACACTCCAGTACAATGCTGGAGGAGGTGTACTGCATTTCTGGAGGTGCTATTGTTCAGATGAAATGTTAAACTGAGATCCTGTTCCTTTGCCAAATGTAAGAATTATTTAAGTGATCCTCAAATGATTGGGCGCGAATGATTAACTGATATTCCAACACCTCAGTGGTGTATTCTAGCTGCTGGCACTTAATTCAGTTCAGCTTGTTACTCAAGAGTTTTCCGATCTCCTTTACCCACTTCAGTTCTTTGCCTCCCCATAGCAGGCAATCTTCTGAATGGGAGAAACACGCTGTGCAAAAAGGTGAGCCCTTCACGTGGTATATTCATCCCAATGGACTAAGTACAAGCCATTTGGTGCATTTATAAATAACTCACCCTGGGATTTAACTTATTTATGACAGAGCTTTTAATATCGATTCCAAATCATAAATAACAAACCTGATAAGGTACCAACTCTCAACATTCCACTCCCAACATCCCAGAAAAAAGACTCCTGGGCTTATCTGTTTATTCCTGTTACAAATTGCTGAAAAGGTGCACTTTCTCTGGTGCAGTTTCAAAGTGCAATTTAATTTTATGTGAGGCATGCTATATAAATGCAAGTTGTTGTTGCAATTATACTTTAAAACTCCATGAGTGTTATCTGTAAACATTGGAATAAGTCAACAAAACTTCCTAAATGGAGGACTGTATGTTTAGTTTACATTAGCAATAGTACGATATGAAGTGAAAGAACAGTGACCTCTAGTTGTCCTGTTAACTTGTGAAATATGAACAAGTTTCCTTGCATTTCATATGAAGTTGACTGCATTTTCTGGACTTATATTCTGTACAAGCCACAGGAAGCTTCTTTCCAGCAGTAATTAGGAACATGAAGTAACACTGATATTTTAAAATCTTGATTCTGCAAGATTTTAGGAAAGGATACAAAATGGCTTCATGATCTTCAGTGATGAAAAGGTGAAAATGAAAATATTTGATGTGTTGGTCCTTGCCAGACTGCACTGGCTGACTATCCCAGAGAGGATCAATTTCAAGATCCTCACCCTTGTATTCAAGTCCCTGCACTCCTCTGGAGCCCCCTACCTTTCTGACCTCCTGTCTCCTCAAAACAGTACCCGTTGCCTTCGTTCCTCGGGTCTGGCCTCCTCCGAGTCCTCCGCTCCACCCTCGGCGGCCGTGCCTTCAGCCACTATGCCCCGAGGCTCTGGAACTCCCTTCCTCACTCCCTTCACCTCGCTCCCTCCCTTCCTATTTTCAGGTCTCTGCTGAAGACCTTTCTTTTCGACCGCCCCTTTGGTCACCTTCCCCCCCCCCTCCCCCTGGCTCGGTCCCGGGATCCGTTACTGTGAAGTGCTCTGAGACGCCATCCGGCGTGGAGGGTGCTATATAAATCCAAATTGTTGTTGTTATTGTTGCGTATGTGAGGGCAGCCTGATGGTGTAGTGGACAGAGCTGCAGCTTCAGACCAGGAGGTTGCTGGATTCACTTTACTGCTCTCTGCCAGGGCTGCTTAGAGAGACTAAATTGACCCAGACCTTCCCAGGATTAGGGAAGGTAACATCAGGTGGATCAGTTTCCTGGTCCTGACCCTCTTGAGTGCCCTCTACTGATTGTTTGTGCGGTTAGCAGGTAGGGAGAGGCCAGGATTGGCTGTGACACCCTCTACAGTTAAGTGGCCTGTCGCTACAGCACTTTGGGACGTCTCCCGACGTTAAAGGCGCTCTATAAATGTAATTGTTGTTATAAATGTATAAATTATACATATAATTGTTGTTGTTGCTACTCACACATGAACAATGCTCATACATCAATAATCCCTAACAATTAGTGAAGTGACTCATGTTTTGCATCTGACACATTTTTCACCACTAAGACAATTGTTTTTCTTATCTAACAGGACAAGCCAACTGCTAATCTGTCAAACTGTTTGTTTGCTGATGTTCGAATCTCTCTGAACAGTAGCCAAAAGTGCTCATATTACAAAAAGGATCACAACATAAGCTACGGGTTTCTTTATCCCCTGAGTAAGTGCAGCATTGCTTTCATAAAAATGCTTACATTTGCTACAGCGGCTTATCATGTCATCAGTGCATCTCAAAGAGCTTTACAAGGATTTATTGTAAAACGTGGTGACTATATAGCATTTACTTACAATAACCCTTTCATGTTGGGAGGATGTCTCAAAGTGCTTGACACTGTTGGCTGGGCACCTGAGCTGGGGATGGGAGCCAAAGAGGGTGGGGAGTGGGGAGGGGGAATTTGACTGACAAGGATACGTACTGGAGATGGGCCTTGATAGTGTGAAGAGAACGAGCTGATGTGACTCGGATGGAGTTCCTGATAGTGGGGCACGTTGGGCATGGGACATGGAGCAGGCCGGTGTTTGCTGAGTAAAGGGAGTGGCTAGGTTGGTAAAGTTACAGGAGATTACAGTGGTTGGACGAGACAATGGAGGGAATTGAAGGTGAAGATGAGAATTTTGAATTTAGTTTGCTGGGGGACAAGGAGCCAAGCGAGGATGGGCTCGCAGAGCCTTATACAGGAGAAGACACACGGGCTACAGAGTTCTGAATAGTCTGCAGCCTGTATAGGGAAGAGCAGAGGAGTCTGCCAAGCAGAATCTGGCAAGACTTTACATCCTGAATATCAACATCTATCAGATATTCATGGTAGAATTGCTACAATGACATGTGTGCAAGCTGTTGTTTGGCCTACATTAGTAGATACATGAGATTATACCCAGACTGATGATATTTTTATGTGGATATATGTGGAGTCCTGTAGCTCAGTGGTTAGAGCACTCGCTTTGCAAGTGAGAGACCTGAGTTCAATTCCAGGCAGAGGGCGAAACCTTGGGCAAGTTTCCTTACTCCACACAGAGCCTAATAATAATCCCTCCAAAACCAAAAACAATAATACATTGGTCATTTTCAATCTACGACTGTTTGTGGGACATTGCTGTGCGCAATTGGCTGCCGCGTTCGCCCACAAATATACAGTCAATTCACTTTACAGTGTGTTCTGTGATGCGCTTTGGGATGTCCTCCCGACGTGAAAAGCGCTATATCAAATTCAAGGATTATTATTATTATTATTTTTAGATATTTTTAGATATTAAAGAAGCTCAATCAGCAATACTGGAATGTGCAGATTACATTGCTGCTGTTCAAGTCTATTTTAAAGAAAGAAATGAGCCCTAAGGGTTTTCTGTCAGCTTTGTACCAACTCACTGTTCTTAAGAATGTTTTCCAGTGAATAATAAAATTGGTGTACTGGATGATGCATATGTGTCTGGACAGTAACCATGATTATTTGTAACACTGTTGCTTTTTCTAGACCTGCAAGACCAACATGATAAGTACGAAGGTCTGTTGACCAGCAACATTGTGCCCATGCACAAAGCCTTCCAAAGTAAGTACAGAATAGCTCTTTACTAAACAATGCTCTTGTTTCTCAGAATGAAGTTTTTCTCATTCATTTTATTTCATGACTATTGATAATTTCACTGTGTCTTGCTTGATATGAAACCAAACTGAAATTGAACTTGATGATTCATTGCTTTGAGTTGTTTCACACTCTCATTGCTGTCATGCGTTCAAAATGTTACTTGAATCCTGAACTAAACATGGTTATGATAAAGTAAAACAAGTTGGAGGTTGATGAGTAGGAAATTGATAAGACTTTAATAAAGAGGACTGGTGATTGATGCGGAAATGGATTGAGCCAGAAACGCATAAAATTTAACCTAGTCTGAGGCTGCAAATGCAAAATAATACAGTATTGTGAAAAAATCTTAAAACAGAATCCTAATTTGGAAGCCAGTTCTTTCTACCAAATATGTCAAGAACCAAATAAAGACTGAATTTTAAGAATTTTCCACTGCTTGGCACAGACCTTTCACTTTTGTGTTAGCCCTATGAAACCCGGCTGGTACCACACTTGCTTTCCATCATGTGACCCAGGTGTGACAGTTCTCCTCTAAGTGACATGGTAAGGAACTGATACAAGGCTCCTGGTAAAAATAAATTCTGCCCTTAAATTTTAAGGCTGAGACTAGGTGGAATATTAGGTCTCAAATGTTCACAAACTGTACACTAGGAGATGAGAAATAAGACATAGTATTTATCTCCAATGCTAATGATCACATTTTGTTATGATTTTTAATGATGAATTTAGCAGGTATTCAGCTATGAAATCGTATGATCTGTTATTGACCAATACATTATTGATTGGACCTGACCAGCTACTGACTGTCATGTTATTGACTTGGACCTGACCAGTTATCGACCGGGACATCAGACAGAGAGGATTTTTGTTGGAACATTTCCAAGTTTCCAACCATTGTATTTACTTTGATATTTGTGCCAATGAAGTTACAGTGAGGTGATGCTTATTGTTATGATTTTTGATAGAGGTGTGGAATTACTTCCACAACGTTTTGCTGGTGAAATACGCCATCCGGAGAAATGGTATCAATGTGATCAGTGGACCTGTGTTTGATTACGATTTTGATGGACACTTTGATACTCCAGACAAAATCCTAGAGTAAGTAGTTCAGATTATGTTCTGTAAAACAATAATAAATTGGTCACTTTCAATCCATGACTGCTTGTGGGACACTGCTGTGCGCAATTGGCTGCTGCGTTCGCCCACAAATATACAGTCAATTCACTTTACAGTATATTCTGTGAAGCGCTTTGGGACGTCTAGAAGACGTGAAAAGCGCTATATCAAATGCAAGGATTATTATTATTAAACCACTTTCTTGCATCAAATCAAAAGTTCCTGGTGGGCTGTCCTGAAATTTCCATTGCAAACTCTCCATGTTCTCTTATTCTACTATATTAGTGCATCCTAAAGCATTGTTCTGGATTCAGTGTTTCGCTGTTTAATGACTGAGACGCAGATTAAAACAAAGTTGTTTGTTCATTATTCATTTTCCTCCATTTGAAATATCTTCAAACCATATTTGGCATGCTATTATATGTCCATTGTAATAACTATTGTAACAAGCACAAACCTGGTTGAAAAGAGTTAGTTAATTTAAATGTGTGGCTTTCCCATTCACATCTATAATGCACAATGAATGACCTTGAATTAAAGAGATTTGAGAACTACATTCTTGCATTAAATCAAGATGCATAACTTAATGAAAAATGCGTTTGGCATCTTGTGAATGTTGTCCCGTGCCAGAGAGACAAAAAGCAATAATACTCAACAACAATCGATCAACATTTTTCTAGTGAAGACGGAGGTGTGGGGTCAAGAGCAATTGTAAAGAATGCCACAAAGAGATTAGGTAATGTAGAAGCTTGTGTTTGGGTAATGTGATGCTCGGGAATTGAAACCTGTATATTGTAGGAAAGAGAAATATCTGAGCCAGAGAATTGCAACTGAAAAACATGAGTTAGCATATGAGATGATGCTGATGAATTATTATTATAATTTTGTATTATGATATTGGATTATTATTACTTGCTAATTATTTTTTTGCAGGTATCTGCAAGATATAAAAGTGCCCATCCCAACTCACTACTACATAATCCTTACCAGCTGCACCAACACCTCCCAGACCCCAACTCAGTGTAAAGACTCACTGCGTGTGCTGTCCTTCATTCTGCCTCATAGAACTGACAACAGTGAGAGTTGTGCGGTAAGTAAACCTCAGGTTGAGTAGAGGGAACAGAAAATTAACCCTATCTTTACTTGTCAGCCTGGTTCTGTTGGTAGCAATCTTGCCTCTGAGTCAGAAGTCTGTGGGATCATCAACAAATTGCATTTACATAGTGTCTTCATATCGGGGGGACGTCCCAAGGAGCTGGATAGCTGAGCTGATGTTAAATTTGGGAGGGTTGGGGGCTGGGAGTGTTGGGAGTGGGGGGGGTGGGGGAAAGATGACAAGCGCATGGCCAAGAAGTCTTGAGATGGACCTTGAAAGAAGCGAGGGAAGGGGCGAGGCGAAGAGGCTCTGGGATGGAATGGGAGCAGAAAGGCTGAAAGTCCGACCACCGATGATCTCTCCCTCCCACGATTCTATGCATTTCCAATGCTTGCTGGTAAGTGCACATGTGATGATGGGTCACGACCACATTGAATTGTGAGAAACATAGTCTTCACTTTTACCACATGCAGTGTAGATTATTGATTACATTTTATTTTGTATTGTATTTATATGACTTACCCAAATTTGCCTGCAACTCAGACTTCATGTAAGTCATATCGAATGTTATGGCCCTGACTGATATGAATTATGTGAGTTTTACTTTACCTTGAAGAGGAAAGGGAGATTAGAGATGGGACAGTAGTTAGGGAAGAGGGTTGGATCAAAGGAAGGTTTTTTGAGGAAGGGTGATGACAGCTGTCTTGAAGGGGGTGGGAACTGTGCCAGTGAACAAAGAGAGGTTGATGATATCTGTTAGCAAGGAAGGATTTTAGGAGAGGGATGGAGATGGGGTCAAGGGAGCTTGTAATGAGCTTCATTCAGGAAATGATGGAAGGAAGAGAAGAGGGAGAGATGGGATTGAAGGTGTGGAAGGAGGGATGGGTCGAGGCCAGAGGGAGAAGAAGGAGGAGGTGGTAGTAATGAGGGCAAAGGATCCTCTTGATTTTGGATCTGAGGAAGTCTATCAGCTCCTCACATTTGGAATTGGAGGAGAGGATGGACGGAGCATGGGAAATTAGGGGAAGCTGATATATGGTGGAGAAGAGGAGCCTGGAGTTGTCCTTGGCCTCCAGGAAGTAGAAGGACGATTTGGCTGAGACAAACATAAAAAATATTTGCGAGTGATTTGGAATATCAACAATCTAATCTATTTTCCATTTTGATTGTCATACAGTATGTTTTGATAATTGTCATTTCTTCTATATTCTGCGTCAGGACGGCAAGGAAGAGTCCCAGTGGGTTGAGGAGCGAGTTTGGATGCACACAGCACGTGTCCGGGATGTGGAGCTTATCACTGGCCTCGATTTCTATCAGGACCGGAAACAGCCAGTCACAGAGATTTTACAGCTAAAAACATTTTTACCGCCTCTTGAAGATAAAATGTAATTATTTGATTAAAGTGCTGACTGTTGCAGCAAGATTTTTTAAGCTTTAAAGTATATTTATTGTGTTTGTATTCAAAACAAAGTGGGGTGTTAAAGGCAGGTCTCATAAATAGCGCTGACCTATTTCTGGAGTGAAGTTGCAGTGGGTCGGGGCCTTCTGATTACTGGCAGGAGGTGCTATTTGAAACAAGTCACTGTTTGCTACTCTTGTTATGAATTCTTTATTTTCACCCCCCACTCGTTTTACAGTTCAGAGTTTACTACTGTTGGTTTCTTCCCTTCAGTGGTCTGTCTACCAGCTGATCTGTAAGCAGACCTCAGGTACAGATGCCGCGCATTTTGGACTCTATCTTTTCCAGAGTGATGTAGGTAAAGGATAATGATTACCTCACATAATAATAATCTTTGCATTTGACATAGCGCTTTTCATGTCGGGAGGACGTCCCAAAGCGCTTCACAGAACACACTGTAAAGTGAATTGACTGTATATTTGTGGGCGAACGCAGCAGCCAATTGCGCACAGTAATGTCCCACAAAGTCGTAGATTGATAATGACCAATTTATTATTGTTTTTGGTTTTGGAGGGATTATTATTAGGCGTGTGGAGTAAGGAAACTTGCCCAAGGTTTCGCCCTGCCTGGAATTGAACTCAAGTCTCTCGCTTGCAAAGCGAGTGCTCTAACTGCTGAGCTACAGGACTCCACGTGTAGCAATTCACCTACTGGATTTGTGCCAGTTTGTCAGCATGCTGCCAAATTCTCTTTGAAATAGTGGATAATGCTACATAAATCAAATTCAGCAAAGAAAGTATATTTTATTCTATTGTCAATCTGGCGTTTGTTGTCCTCCTGTTTCATTGGTCCTTTTCCCTTAGCATTCCATTGCCAAGCAAGTCACATTGGAGTTACGTCAGCTCCAAGGAGACCTCAATTGCCTCTCCTGCAAGGATAAGGGAATATCGACATGGTGTCTCTGAGCATTTTCAAGCAGCTTTGGGTTCTACCGTTATTCAGACGTTCATGGCCTTGCTCCCTCCTACCTCTCTGACCTGCTGACCCTCTTATCAACCTATCCGCTCCCGCCATTCAACAGGCTCCAGCCTGCTCCATGTCTCCCGACCGACCCACCCTACCATCGGCAGTCAGGCTTTCAGCCTCTCTGCCCCCACTGTTTGGAACTCCATCCCACACTCCCTTTGCCTTGCTCCCTCGCCTCCTTCAAGGCACAACTCAAGACTCGTCTTTGTTGACCGTGCTTTCAGCCGCCCTCCTACCCCCTCTACCCCACGCTCGGGTCCTGATCCCTCACTGTTCAGTGCCTTAAAACGTCCTCCTGACATGAAAGGCGCTTTACAAATATAATTTTGTTGTTGTTGTATCTTTACGGATCAGAGATTATGTGTAGAATTTTCTCCAGGAGATAAGAGTAGTTAGATTGAGGCTCTGCTAGGTAATTAGTGGATGGTTCGAATGTCATTTTCTGCTTTGATTCTCGCCAAGACAACAGGACAAGAAGCTATAGGATCAGGACTGTGATGGCAACAGCTGGAACGTGCTGAAAGGTTGAAGGATGCAAAAAAACGGGTTGAAGGAATCTTCACTGCTTGTGTTCTTACTGATACTATTCAATAGCAACAACAGCAGCTGTGTTGTAATACTATTCAATGGAAACTATAAATTAATAAATCTTGTAACTGATTAAATGTTTGTCATGTCAAAATGTCTCAAAGCATTTCAACAACAACAAAATCACATTTGTACAGCACCTTTCACATCGGGAAGACGTCCCAAAGCGCTGGACAATCAGTATTTCGGACCTGAGCTGGGGAGTGATCGAAGGCACGGTCGAAGAGGAAGGTCTTGAGACTGGTCTTAATGGAGGCAAGGGAGGCGGCAAGGTGGAGGGACTGCAGGATGGAGTTCCAGAGGGTGGGGGCAGAGTGGCTGAAGGCCCAAACACCAATGGTGGGGCAGGCGAGGTGAGGGACGTGAAGCAGGCCAGAACCTGCTGAGCGGAAAGAGCGGGTATGTTGGCAGGGGGTTAGGAGGTTGCAGAGATAGGGGGAAGCAAGGCCATAGAGGGCTTTGAAGGTGAGAAGCAGGATCTTGAACTCTATCCTCTGTGTGATAGGAAACCAGTAGAGTTGGGCGAGGATGGGGGTGATAGGGTCACGGAGCCTGGTGTGGGAGAGGGCACGGCTGCAGAGTTCTGGATGATCTGCACCCTATGGAGGGAGGAGTTGGGGAGGCCGACAAGCAAGGAGTTTGCATAGTCCAGCCTGGATGTTATGAATGCATGTATGAGAGTCTCGGCGGCCTGCGGTGTGAGACAGTGGCAGAGCCGGTGATGTTGCGGAGGTGGGGGAAGGCAGAGCGGGTCATGGCACGAATGTGGGGTAGAAAGGATAATTGAGGGTCAAACAAGATGTCAAAGTTCCAGACTGGCTCAGTGAGGTGGAGTGTGCATCCTTGGATGGTGATGCCTGAGGTGTGACAGGGTTTTACTGTGAAGTATCGTGAGTGTATATTTTGTAGACAACTGTAGCCTGTGTAAAATATTTGTAATGTCAGTCACCAGAGGGCAGTATTATAAAAGCAAAAGCATAATTTCCAAACGGTGGCATTATTCAAAGGTAATTGTATTCGGCACAAGCTTATATTCGATCACTAGAGTGCAGTAACATACCATAAACACAATACACAGTGTTTTATTATTAGCTACAAACAATGATAAAAATCTGCGTTTAGCAAGCTTCACATCAGGAGCATTTTGCAAAGCACTTCACAGGATATTTTGTAAAACAAAGTGACTATATTTTGTAGATGAATGTAGCAAATTTACACAGCAGCATCCCTCAATTGGCCATTTTTTTTGGGTGGGGTATTTCTGGCCTGATGTTTCTATGAGACTTAAATGAATTGATACTTTAGCAAAGATTGTGGATGGAAAAAATTTAGACCCAGTTTGTGTGAAAATTAGATTAATAAACATTTGCTGATAAGATCATAGATTTCAATTATTTCCCGATTGTATTTTTTCACTGATTTTTTTTCTAAAATTGACAGCCTTGCCAACTTATTTCCCAACACCTCACAATAAGCCGATTTGCTGAGTTATTGCATCTTTATATTCTTATCCCAAGTTTTCACTGTATCTTTCCTCCAATGTTCACCTAACAGAAAACCGAGAGGCAAATGTGAATCTTTGAGAGATTTCAGACACTTACTACCTCTATAAAGCCAGTTGTGATCACCTGTTATCAATATTAATTGCAGTGTGAGCTATCCCACCACAAGTCATGCAACCGTTGTAAAAAGCTACACGGTAAAGTTCTGAAACATTTTGAAAACAACTTCAAAGGTATTTTCTCCTAAAATGTAGGATATTACTAAGCACTCCACTGAGAGCAGAAAAGCCTTTCTTTTTAATCATTGCTCACTAAACTAAGCTGCATCTCCAACATTTGCCAACAGATTTTGGACAGAACAAAGAAAAGCAGCTGCAGAGACTTAAACAGAATAACCAAGCTCAAAATAGCTAACACAGCTCACTCATACACATCACAAATAGAAAACGCTGAAACTCTCAAAGGGCTTCATTGCAGAGACAACTATTAACATGTGGAGAAAAACACTCTGAAGGAGAATTTGCATATGTATTCAGAGTCTGGATGTTTACTGAATCCAGCTGCTGATGGAGCAATTACTAGCTGTAATAAATATCCACTGATTAAGGTTTCAATATGTTGGCGTAAATCTATGTATTTTCAAGTTATTTTGTTAACGGCAAAAATGAATACAAGTTGCGCTTGTTTCCATTTTTAACTTGTTTTTGAGTTTTAAAAAAACATAATTGCATTTATATGGCACCCTTAACATCCCAAGGACATTACAAAATGCTTGACACAGCTGCCTGGGGGCCGAAGTCGAGGGGGGAGCTGGAGGTTAATGGCTGAAAGCGCTATCAAAATGATAGATGTTAAGGTGGGTCTTGAGGGCAGGGAGGGAGAAGGTAAGTTAGAAAAACAATGGGATGGAATTTCAAAGAGCATTACTTTCAGAGTGTGTGTTGGGATACTAATGCAGTTTAACCAGATAAACCACGCAGCTTTCCACTGCCAACAATGTCCGGCAAGCTACCCATTCCTTGTCAAGGTAGGACTATCCTACCCATAGGGCTTTGTGTTTTAGAGTTAACAGGAGCTGAGTGGAAAGAATCCATACTCCCAGTAACTGGTCTGTTCCTTAAGGTCCTGTTGACAAGCCAGGCTAGCTGGTTAGTCATCAACTAGTGATGCCATCAACATAAAAGCACACAAGTACTTTGACCTAATCCAGTTTCTGCTGAAAGTGTTTTGCGCATTTAACTTGGCATATGAAATCTTCAGTATTCTTTTTGTACACTCATAAATCCAAGAAATGTAGGTTCTGTGATGTTGATGTAAAGCACAAAAGATGGAGATTCTGTAAAGCTCGCCAGTTATTTGTATTGATGTGGAGCACATGTTGGACCAAGCTGCCACTAAAAAGGTTGATAAAGTAATTAATGAAGCACCTTTGGGCTGTTATAAACTGTTGGAAGAAAAGTCTCTGGCAAGCGAATGTTCTCTTATCAAAGGGCAGCATGACATAGCACAATAGAGTAGCTGTGTGTGAGAACCCAAGGCTCCTATTCTCTGTCAGACGGAGTTTGGACCCATGATCTCAGCCATAACTCTGGGTAGAAATGAATGGAGATTAGGTACATCCCTTCTGGGGGGAGGGGGAAGAGAGAGAAGGAGGGAGATCATTCATCAGAGAACCTTGCTGAGAGGTGTAATGCTGGGTGATCAGGAGCAAACGTGATGTCAGTTGGTTGCACAACTTCAGAAGAGCATGGTTAGTCATCAACAGTGATGCCATCAACATAAAAGCACATGCGTACTTAGATCTAACCCAGTTTCTGCTGAGAAAATAAAATGCAGAAGAACAAGGACGTGTAACCATCACACTAAACAATAGGAGGCAGTGGACCCACGTAGACTCCTTTAAAATATGTGCCGTTGAGGATGT